TTAAGGGTAAATTCGAGAAAAATAAATATAAATCATGTTGCGCGACGTGCTGGTGCATCTACTAATTAGTGCCGTGGGTATACTAATTGGTACATCCGCATTTTTTGTTTTATTCATTATTTATGGCAATCACGATGTTGGATTTTGGTCGATATTAACAGGTTAGCGTTGCTACCCGGTTAACAGCATAATGATTAGGTTAAGTTTGTGACGGAACAATATGTCGTGTTATATCCGTTTACGTTTTCTTGGAAAAGAAATTTCATTCTCTTTTTGTCTACCTACATTTTGATATTCCAATCAGTTTAAAAAGTTGAAGATTTCTCTTGCAATTAGCAAGAATATTGAATAGTATTAATACGCAGAATACAAAAAAATTGAAAGCCTTTTCTTTTAGCTATAAATATTTCAATACATTTGAAATATTTCTATTGTTAATTATAATAATATTGTTATTCTTCTTCTACCACTGCTGACTATGTGTAAATAAATTGATATGACTAGAAGTAGTTGTATTTTCAAAAATTCTATCGTACCTTACTGTAACCGTATTAAATGTGACAACGCTAGAAAAAGATGATAATTTCTTGAACAAAACATAAAAATATAATAGTTATTTGCAAATAGAAATTTGTATTGAATAGGACATGGTTATTATAACATGTTTCAAATCCTTTGATTTGCGTATCAATATACGACTCAATGGCTTGGACAAAAAAATTACAAGCAACATTGTAAGAATTCAAATAAAAATTGTATGAATCAATAATAGATGTATAATGCAACAATAAGGCATTTGTATAATTTTTGTTTATAACGACACGAATCCATATGGTCAGAATGAGGAGCTGGGTAGACTAAAATTTGATATCGAAATGTATAGGTGCCTTAGCTGGCGTCTGTTTTCACTTGCATTGGATAAAAGGCAAGGAAACTTTGGAAAGATGGCATACTAGAGCCACGTTGAGAAATTTGAACGTTGTTGGCTTTGTGAGTGCCGTAGCTGGCGTAACTGCATTGATCTGGTACCTGTTTCTTACGTTTTACTACAAAATTCGTAAGCATATCATTAAATATTTCATGTTATTTTATTTACTTAAGGATATAATTTTATGTTGTTTTGTATTCTATATAACTGCATCTTGATTTGATAGGACCTGCAAAATCAATCACTCGCTAACGCATAAAAATTTATTTTTCTAGCCATTCGACCAATTTCTGAAAGCACTGTCATATCAGCAGTTTGGTCTATGATCTGTGGAAAATGGGGTATTACATTGATGTACTACTCAAACAAGTATGAATTATTGATCCAAGAGGGAACATTACCTATACTCGCAGACAGTACATAAAACACATAACGTCATTGTTTTATACTTTTATATAAAATGAGATATTTTCTAGAAACTAACAGATATATATATATAGACCAAACTTGTTCAAATTTTTATTTGCGAGCAGAATACTTGGTTTTTTTTCTTATAAATACATATTGAATAGTGACAAGAAAGTTATTGAATATTGTGGGATCTGTAAATCGTGTACTTGTGTTCAGGGACAGGAAAGTTATCAATCCATGATAATAATAGATTATGAATATCGATCGATACCTGAAGATTAAATGTGAGAAAATATAATTATGTTTCATAACGGCAACGACGTGACAAGTAACGCGTTACTTCCATACCCTGCTTGTCTTATGCCATATAGTGTTATTGTTAAGATCTACAGCATCATTGCTTCCTGATGAGAATGGAAAAGATATAAATATCCTTCCGCTCGATGAGTTTGAACAGATTTGGTATAAACAATTTACATTTTTTAAGGTTGCCAGCAATAATTATTAAATTGAATTTAAGTCGACCTCGGCTGGCCAATATCTATTAACGTTTTTAAAATTTTGAACAGATGCAATTTGTAAGTTTCTTTTTTACATACAATTGGTGAGTTTGTAGCAGACCATGTATTAAAATAATTGAAAATTTCAGCCTTATATTATATTTCACTTGGAAAAGACCTAAACCAAAGGCCGTTTTGTTGCCTCTTCTAATAAATATTAGCTAGTTGAGGTCGACTAAGATTCAATTTGATTTGGTATTTTTTTGGTCTAAATATACCTCTAAAAAAATATATATATATAACCCCACGAAAATATATATGTATACATATATTTCTCCATTTAATAACTAATTATAAAATTGTATATAATAATGTAATAACATATAACATTTTAATATAAGAATATTGCTTCTGTTTGTATATACATATACTTGTGAGCAACTTTGCCTCTTTCCCTCTCCTCTCCCTCTTTTATATCTGTAATGTATGTACATATACAAATGATAATAATTATACATTGTACGCATATACCATCAGACAACGAGTTAAGAAATGTCTTAGGATGGGGACAATTTATAAAGCGGATCAATAATTGTATACAAGCCAATCAACGAAGAAATAATACCAAGGAAGCCTATTGTACCCGGAGTACATTTTGTGACACCTAATGCTGTCAATGGAATAAGTAAATCACATACATTTTTAACGGTATCCATGACAACTTGCTTGTGATTTCTTAAAGAGTATAATATATGACGTTGCTTAAACGCACTCTTCTCGTGTCCGAAAATCTTGGCGATCTCATAAATGTCTCTGATTAAACTCATAACAATGGTCAATAACCAATATTTATTAGCAGCTTTATTCCATTTTTCTAGATCGACTCGTAAAATTCCTACTCTGCCAACCCATATAAAATGATCTGCCAATAAGTACAAAGCATTTGCCAGCTTCGCCACGATTAATGTTATTCTCACTGTAGGATCGGGATACTTAGTAATTTTTAGGGCAGAATACAAGCTGTCCAGGCATCTTCCAAAACGTAGCACTAGAACGTGATTAATTTCAGTCAGCTATAGAGAAGTGTCTTTACACAAGCTGGAAAGTTACTTACATTTTCGAAATGAACTAAAAGTGAATTCGAGACTTCTCAAAACTTCGGCAGAGTATCTCGTGCTAGGCACATTTTGCGCGTAGTACCAATACGCTCGACTTCCATATTGAAGTAATCTGCAAAAGACACGTACGTTTTTATATAGTAAGGCATAAATTTTTCCTTAATAGATTGAAATACTATACAGTTGAATTTACGTCTGTGGTTAGCAGACAAGAATTTATTCCCTTGGTTGAATTTTAACTAAACATTGAGAAAAATTTTCATGTTTCTTTCGTTGAAAATGAAATTGACAGAATTGTGGTATTCAACGTAGATTACGCTGGCACGCAAATGAGAATTGTTAGGAGAAATGAAACGTACCTTATTACTTTGTCCCTCCCTGCCGTTTGCTCGTTCAACTTTATAACGATATCCATGATATCTCTTTGGAAAGTTATCTTACTGTAGTTGACAATTGTGCAGTTAACTTGAAGCGAAAAAACGAAAAAATACTTTCAATCTCTAGATACCGCAAAATGATTCGCGCTCGAAAGAGTAGTTGGGAAGAAAATCCAAGGCGAGAACATATCTGACCACTGGCACAACAGCGTTATGTCTTTGACGACAATCGCTTGTCATTATCACGAGCTAGCAACAGTTGTTAAATCGGACTCTGCACTTTGCATTGTATCTACGTTGTACGGGAAGGAACGGTCAACGGACAGTGATGTCGCTATTAGGAGCTTAGGTTAGGTTTAAGAGGTTTAAGAGGTTAGGAATACATTTTACGTTGAATGACAAATTGAACTGCTCGTAAATTCTTCCATCAATTTAGAGACATTATCGATTTTTCCTTTCTTTTCGAAATGGACGGTTTTCATTTAGTCCGGCTCACTACAAACAATCGTAAATTAATCTTGCATCGAACCCACTTTACTGTCATCTCTTATCTCTAATTACATATTTTCCTGACAAAGTGGGAGGTCGTTTCAATTATAATGTGAGTCATTGGACGATAATGATCGCTAGGATTGAACTCAAAATCGTGCAACTTTATTCTGATCCTCGGACGCAAGAGAGAGAGAGAGAGAAGCAACAAGTCTCTTGCTAATTTGATCTCGACTCGTCGGGTATCTTCCGAATGGACTAGAGTTGAAACTTGAAAAAGAACAAATAACATTCCCTGCCAGATATCTTTACACCTTTAATCTATTTCCAATTTGGCGTCATTTAACTCTCATGTTATTTCGCTCGTAACAAGACATAAAAAGACTTTTACTCATACAAAACAATATATTTCATACTGCGGTGATATTAACAATAAATTAAGCACACAATTCTAATTCTAAGTGAAACAGGCTAAAGATTGAAGGACGAAACAGTTTTATTAATTCCTCAAAGTGACGAGATGATACTTGGGATTATAATTAAATATACTTATGTAAGATATAAAATCACATTGACGAATACGATAAATATCACACGATATAATTGTGTACAATTGTATCTTTTCTTTCTCAGCGAACTATACATATTATATCTTTTATATTAGAAGCGTTTGACTATTCTTACAACGAAATTGACGCGCAAATGTACACGCGTGTTGGGTGAGTATGCATGTAAAATTGTACATTATGCATCATAGTATGAAGAGAGAGAGAGAGAGAGAGGTATGTAGAGTGGGCGAGAGATACGTACGAAACAACGATTATGATAAATGACGGCGAATTGAATGATCGTATACGTATTTCAAGGCCCAGCGCGCTCGTCCTTTGTGTTTGAACCCTGGCGTGAGAAGAAGCGCAATCACTAAAACAATAAATAGCAGTATGAGATTGAAATAATGGATCGATTCTGATGAGGTATAAATCTCTTACCTATGATGTAAAGCAGAAGCAAATTGTTGACCGTGTTACCGATCCATGCGAAGAGAATGAGAAAGAGGATCGTTGCGCTGTAGTACTGCAAAAGCAATGTAATTGTTGACTTTTGAAAGGTCGTCAAGTTTTTGAGAGAAATTGACTTACAATATTGGGACGATCGTGGCGAATTTTGGAGATGGATGCCCATATACCTTGCACTTGCAACATAGTGGCAGAGAGATTTTGACAAATCTCAATCAACTTCTTCTCCTTTTGTCCTGTCCAGCTTTGAGCGTTGCACAAGACCGAGGTGAAAATGGGCACGAGATAATCGACGAGAGCGAATATCAATAGACATATGGATATCATTGTCAGCAGGGCTGGTTCTAGAATCCATACAGTACTGTAATAGGAGAAACATTACTGTTTCCGATTATTAACATTGGACATGAAGGAGAAGATGAGTGAGAATTTTTACCAGAATATCACCGTTACAAGTCCGACGATCAGCCCGGGATGCCAGCTGCGTTCCCACAAGAGGATGGAATTCAAAGGCAGAATAATCTCCCGCCAGCATTCCATCTTTCGCTTCAACTGCTTCATGTGCTTTTCCTGGCGCAATAAGATTGATTTTTCGCGACGCTACTTAAATTTGCCCCGAGTGAATTGAGCAGAATTGAGCAGAATTGAGCAGAATTGAGGAGAATTGAGGAGAAGTGAAGGGACGCGAGGACGAGCCGCACTCACCTTTTCGACCGTCCCGTCATCCGTCATCGCGCCAAGATTCGTGACTAAAAGCGTACGACGTACGAGACGCGTAGGAGTCGACCAGACAGTCAATAGCGATAGAGGAGAGTCTATTCCGTATTTCGCCTATTTATCCACTACGTACCGTCATCTCGAGCTATCGTCAATAGGTAAGTGGCTAGAATCAGTTTGCAGTCGGGGGATCAATGTGCGTGTGTGCGCGGAAAAAAAAACACGCACAACTCGGAGGACGCGGGTGGACAGGACAGGCAGGTCGTGTGTGCGCGCTGCAGCGACCCACGCACACGAGCGTAGCGCACGGCGACGGCGCAATGGGGCTGAAAGGGGCAAGAAGGAAGGATCGACTTCTGGCTTCGAGAGTACGCTCGAACCTGGGACGCGATTGGCTGTTGGTTCAAAATGTTGGTTATTGCGGGCGATGCTGTGCTGATGTTGTGACGTTAAGCGTTTTCGCCGTGCGCCGGGAAGTTGGAAAAAGCACGTAGCTGCGCGCGAGACCTGGCCGAGATCACGCTCCGAGTTTCCGCCGATTATGGCCGCCGCCGCCGCGAGCTCCGTGAGTATCCGCTACTAGTTTGCTGTCGTCCAACGAAAATACACGGTCCGTTCGTCACGGCGTCCCGCCGCTACCGCTGACCGCCGCCGCCGCCGCCTCCGCCGCCGTCGTCGTCGTCGTCGTCGTCGTCGTCGTCGTAGCTTTAATAACAATGCCTTCTTGTTTACGTTTTAACGCCCCCTTGCAATCGTGCGTAATGTCACGCATTTTTGCAGAATGTCGAAAATCTGTCGCCGCAAATCATCCGCCGGGTGGCCAAGGAGATGGCAGAGCTGGTCGCGCAAACACCTGAAGGTATTCGTGTCATTTTGAACGAGGCCGACATCACCGACATACAAGCCGTCATCGAAGGCCCAGGTAAAATCCCACCTCCCCCTAAATCGCTCCCTCGTCCTCGAGAAAGAGAGAGAGAGAGAGAGAGAGAGAGAGAGAGAGAGAGAGAGAGAGTCCCTCCGAATCAAGTATCCTTTTGTCGATCATACATCTAACGTTACCTAACCTAATCCGCCTAGCGTTCTAACCCTCACGTTTCTCTATCGATTGATAAACATCTCTTTCCAACAGCGGGGACTCCGTATGCCGGTGGTTTCTTTAGAGTGAAATTGGTTCTTGGAAAAGACTTTCCACAAGGACCGCCCAAAGCTTACTTTCTCACAAAGATTTTCCACCCTAACGTAGCAAAAAATGGCGAAATATGCGTCAATACTTTAAAAAAGGATTGGAAACCAGATCTTGGGATACAACATATATTATTGGCAAGTGCCAAAACACGATGTATATACGCTTACTCTTATGTTTCGCTCTTCATCGTTATTCTTTTCCTTTTCAGACTATCAAGTGTCTACTGATAGTGCCAAATCCAGAATCTGCTTTGAACGAAGAAGCTGGCAAATTGCTTTTAGAAAGTCACGACGAATATTCCGAACGAGCGAAAATGATGACGGAGATACACGCACAGGTAACGCATTTTTTCTCCACCCCACTTGCGTACCTCTCACGAGTGGTGAAATTCCTTCAGGGAGGTGGGAAAGGTAGCAAGGCAGGCCTGGAAAGTTGCGCACCTTCGGAAATCGGTGGACCTCTTCCAAAGAAGCACGCGAGTGACAGGAAGCTAACAGCAGAGAAGAAAAAAATGTTAAAAGATAAGAAGAGGACGCTGAAGAGATTATAAGAAAAATCAATACATTATTTATCTGTCTTTTGTAATTTAAAATATTAGTATGATAATGTTGCCTCATATTGTATACAATGATTATTGCATAGTAAAATTTTATTATCTAAACTTGACTGATCTTATTATTAAGTATATAGAGAATTGAATAGTTGTGCAGAAATAGAAGAATGATGAGAGTAAAATGTTTATCCATCTTGCGTGGAAGATTAGTACAATTCTAGTAGATAGAGATGTAAGCTGAATTAGAAATTTGCTCTACACTATTAGGAGATATTTTTACATATGTACAGAACAATACCATGTGATGAGTAAAATAAAGAAAATGGTCTTGTATGTGTGCCAACGTTTCAACCATCTTTCGATCCACTTGTTAAAATACAAGCAAACAAAATATACCGAGTAATAGGTGAAAGGGTAAGAGAGATATTTTCAAGTTGCCCTCTTGGATGGATAAAAGTTTCCTTTCAAGAATAACTTTTTATTAAGAGAATCTGTCGGCTAGTTTTTCTTCAGTCTTGCGCCGCTCGATTGCTATACGCAATAAAAAATGTGTACATGTTATTACATATCCATCGCTGTGCACTAAAGTATATAGTATCGATATCCGACTAGATAACAGTACGGTCACAGCCTTAATCCACTATTGGCTATGCACCACGCATAGTGATACAACACTTGTATTTACGCTAAAGTTACAAAGGTATTACATACCCCGTCATCTAGACTCTCAAGTTCCGCAGTAAATAATCCTTATAAAGAGAAAGCGTTTGGAATAATTAGATTGTGAGGGCTAGAAGCACATTCCGTACTACGATAAACAACAACTTTTCGAGATGTATCTCATTGTATTTTTCATCTGGTGAGCACACACGCACGATAGTACATACAAATTCGTACAGTCTTTACAATCATAGGTATGTTCTTTCTTAATCTTCTTGCTTTGTCTTGTTATTGTTATTATTGTGATTATTGGTTTAATAAAAAAAAGTTCAACTAAACTTCTACGAGTGTTTTTCGCCAAAATTTTGTCAAACTTGCTGCGCCAATTTTCGAAAGAATCGTCAAAAATAAAAACTAAGTTAATTTTCTTTTATAACTTTTATCTCACTAAATCTTAATATTGGGTTGTATTTATAAATGTATACTTGATGAAACAGCAACAATGTGTATTGTGTTAGTCAGATTGAACAAAATCTGAATACAGCAGTTTTGTGATGTTGTTACTTGACTTCCTTCACATAAGCTTCCAGCTCCGCATCCAATTCTTCGGCCGTAGGTGTCTTGATCACTTGTCGAGTGCCTCCTCTACCTCCGCGTCGACCACTGCCGCGACCTTAAAGTTCATTATCGTGGTAAATATATCGTGTAATTAAATGGTCAATGATCAATTACCTCTGACAGAACCTGTGCCACCACGATTTCCTCCCCTAAAACGCGTCTGAGGTCTTTGTGTATAATTAACGCTGCTAAGTCTCGCGCCACCACGAACAGAAGTGACTGGTAGTTCGGAAGTAGCTACTTGTATGTTCATTTCACGACCTGTTTGTACATAGTAAATTGGCAAATTGTAATATGCACGTCCACACAAGTGGACATAACTAGTAACACATACCATCTAATGGTACTCCATGGTATTGCTTCATTGCTTTGATGGCATCTGCCCGTCTTTCAAATATGACATCAGCAGAGCCGAGAGATCGACCTGATCTATCATAGTGTACAGCTGCCGATTTTAGAGGTCCGAATTCACTGAATAATTCCTGAAAGGCTTACAATATATCATTTGTATATTAGAAAGATCAAGATTTTATATACAATACCTGTATGTCTGAATCTGACACACCGAAATCAAGATTTGACACCAAAAGTTTGGTTGTTCCCGCATTGCCTATTGCACCACGACCAACCTTTTTCACACCGTCAAACATGTCATGTTTCCAAGCACTGTTTACGTCGCCCTATACAACAAATTGCTACACAAGTCATTCCATTCCAACGTAGGTATATATGTATACGAGGCCACATTATATGCGCGCGCGCGCGCACACACACATACGTGCGCGCTCGCGCGCACGCACGCACCACGTAGAAAATGGAGCAAAGATCGTGTACTGCGGAAACATTAAAGTGTCGGAAAGTCTTACCCTCGTATATGGTAGAGAGCTGCGCGTAATACCACCGCGATTGCGTCCTCGCATGACGCCACCGCCAGCTCTCTGTACCCGACGTGCTCCTCGACGGGGTGAACTGCCGGCGCCTCTGCCGCGTCTGCTGCCGCCGCCACCGCCGCCGCCGCCTCCGCCACGCGTCCTAGACCCTTTGGTCTGTTTGATAATATCATCCAGACTCATCTCGATCTTATCCACCATCTTCATTTGTACGATTTGCGATGGAACGTAACTATCACGCGAGAGAAACACCGACGTAAATCAACCTCTCTCTCGTGATGGCGGTAGAACGAAGACGAACCCGAGCGAAACAGCGCCGCAGGGCAAGCTGGGTATTACCGGTCTCAGTTTACGGTACGAGAGATGGAAAACTGCACGGATAAATGGATTCACGAGGGAAAACTACATAGTAAAATTTGTCCTAGTATTACTACCGCCTCTTACGACACAATAAGAAACTAACAACCAAATATTAAATCATGACGCCTGAAGAAATTATATTTTTCTTGGTAATTATTCAGTTTAACTCCTTCACCTCCAAAATTAGGCTCATTCCACGCGTTTTCATTGAAAACGAAAACTTGACAGGTTAGGGAACCTGTCATACCGACAGGAGGATTTTTGTTAGCGCATAGTCGGTGTGACATAGAAAAATTCGCAGTGTTGACGAATAACGCGTAAATACTTTTATTACAACATTTTCTTTCATAGGCCATTTCCATTTACAATTATAAATAATGTGCGCTAGTTCGTATGCGCCTTTCCTGGATACGATCCTGAAAAGGGTGATACACTGTTGGCGCGAATAAAAACATGACGGAAAATTGAGAACGCCCAGTTCAAAGGTGCCGACAGAAAGTGAGCATACCTGTACTGGTTAGACTGTGCGCACGACTCGGCTCTAGCGCGCGTTCCAGTTAGTATATATATTTCAGTATTGAGAACGCCCAGATCAAAGGTGCCGACCGAGAGTGATCCCAGATAACAATTTTTGCGCGCAAATTTTGCTTGTCTTACACATGCAAATTTGTATGCGATTTGTCCGAGTTTTGTCCGTAAGATATGTTCAGTCTGTGCTTTTGCACGCAAGTGGCTAGCTGATTAAAAAATACATATATATAACCTTAATTGTAAATAGCTTACCGATTTTTTTATCAGTGGTTGGCATCACTACTTAACAACTAGTTAAGCTAACTAATCCAGCAAACACCAAAGTAACAATTACATAACATCAATGCATATGTAATATAACAGGCATGTGTTATTAATGTAAATTTTGTTTTTATCGCCGCAAAACTTAATATAAAATTGTTATGTTTTAGTAAAAAATCTTTATATCAATCTACAATGTTTATGGAATTGATCGGGATTTTTTTTCTTATTCTAATTGTTGTGTATATTTATTACAAGTACGTAATATTTAATTTCTGGCGCAAAAAAGGTGTCTTTTATGTCGAGCCTATTGTGCCAGCTGGTAATTTAACAGATCTCGTGATTGGAAAATTATCAATAGGTGAGTATGTACCATTTACTTGCATATGTGCAATTTCTCTCATTTATTTAGAGTTTGCAAGAATAAAATTACAAAATCAAACAACCAATGTATAAATGGACCCACCATACTCTCTGTGAATTATTGGCCAAGCTAACAGAATTGAGAGAGACAAAGAATTATCTCAATTAACTCGGATTAAAGTTATTTGAAAATTTTTTAATATCTAGATAAAAGTCTACACATTTTGTATATCAAGATAGTGGTAAAAGAATTAAAATATTACCATAATGATTGCCTTCTTATACAATATTTTATGCGTATATTATTTCTTTAATTTTAATGAAATTACATTATTGTATCTTATTTATTTAAAAAGAATTTAATAAAAGATTCATTAACAGGTCAACTATTCTGTGACGCTTACTTAAAATATAAGAAATATCGCACTTTTGGAATGTACACGTTTTTTAAACCAAACCTGATAATTGCTGATCTGGACCTTATTCAAACGGTATTGACGAAGAAATTCCAAAGTTTCCACGATCGCGGACTGTTCTGCAATGAGAAAATTGATCCATTGTCCGGTCATTTGTTTGCATTGTCTGGGCAAAAATGGCGGAATTTGCGTCTCAAGTTAACACCTTCTTTTACCTCGGGGAAAACAAAGCAGCTCTTTATGATTCTAAAGGAGTACGGTGAGGAGCTTGCAAGGAGTTTGGAGAGCAAAGCTCGGACGAAAGATTGTATTGAAATAAAAGATATGTTTGCAAGGTAAACGTTTTCTTCCAAGAAACTCTTAAACGGCAAAAAATTAAATAATTAAAATTTGAAAAAGTGCATGGTTAAAGTAAAAATTGTGATAGTTGTGCAACAAGATAGAAGTGGCTTTCTTTTTTTATTACAATCTCTCTTGAGCAATCTGGGGATAAGAGGTTCATGGCTAGGTAAAATGTCAGAGGTTGAAAGATAGTGAATTTTATTTATTTCAAGTAGACTCTTAACTTTAACGGAGAATATTAGGATATAACTTAGGAATTAAAATAATGTGAAAAATTAGGTTTTCAACGGATGTAATTATGTCAACGGCATTTGGAATCAAATCCAATTGCATAGAGCAGCCGGATAACGAGTTTCGATATTGGAGAAAGAAAGTCTTCGGGGAGAGACCTCTTTTGATGGCTTTCTTAATGTTCGCGCCCCAAATAATGAATTTCTTTTCCCTTCCCGTCACGGACAGGGGCGTTACCAAGTTTTTTATGAAACTGTTTCGTGATAATGTAGAATACAGACAAGCTCATAACATTGTCAGATACGATTTTATGAATTTACTTATGCAACTCATGGAGAAGGGCTACGTTAAAATTGACAATGAGAAAGACATTGGCGACACCTCATGTAAGTACATATTATGTATAATAATTTTAATTGTTTATTAATATGCTGATAAAGAGACTGTGTGATATGTCATATACGTTATTTGTTTGGAATTATACAAATACATTCTAGTCTTGTTACGTCATCTAAAGCTGCTCGTCGTTATTAGTAACCTTCAATTTTAATTGTTAAATATAAATTATGTGTTTTTACTATTTTCCTGTTTTCTTACATATATCTTTAAAACCTATATTTGCGCACAATTCAAATAGAATTAAATTGAATTCCAATATACCGTACATCTCCATATAAATATGGATTCATATAATTAATTTCTGTTTTAAAGTAAAATAACACTCTATACATTTTTCAAATACACATGTGTTTCCATATGTGTGCATATAATCCATATACGTGTGATTTGTATAATTAGGAATATTTCTGCACAAAATTACAATAAAAGTTATATGTATAATGTTTCATTTGTTATATACAGCAAATGTAGATAGACTTACTATGTCGGAAGCGGCTGCGCAAGCTTACGTCTTTTTTTTGGCTGGCTATGAAACTTCTGCTACGACAGCAACATATTGTCTATACGAATTAGCTTGCCATCAACACTTACAGGACAAAGTGCGCAAGGAAATTGATGAAATATTAGAAAAGCATAACGAAGTGTCCTATAATGCTCTGGACGAAATGACGTATCTTCATAAAGTAATAAACGGTAATTGACATGGTTTCCGTTTGTATAAAGACACAATTTCTTATCAACTACTAAGAAAATCTTTATTACATACATACATATATACACGCATTTGTTTATAGGTACTTTTACATGTATTTGATAATCGAAATTATAAATACATTTTTTCCAAACTATACATACAGTAATACACCAAGTGTGTGTGCGTGCAATATATAGTACATATGTAGAAAGTACGAGTATAAAAGTACACTTTTCGAATATCGTTAAATATCTTTTTACTTATTATAGAAACTATGAGAAAGTATCCACCTGTACCTGTCTTGACTCGCGTCTGTACCGAGGATGTGGATCTTCCAACAACGAATATTTATGTGTCAAAAGGAACTTCAATCACTATACCCGTGCTTGGGCTGCATCGAGATCCATCGATATATCCAGATCCGGATAAATTTGATCCTGAACGATTCAATGCAGATGTGATAGCAACCAGACATTCTTGTGCTTATTTGCCTTTTGGCGAAGGACCACGGATCTGCATTGGTGAGGACAGTTCTGTATCAATTCTCCTCATTATTATTATTTATAAATCTTTATCAGTCTTTTACATTGCATGTAATTCTTTTCATATTACGTAACTTTGACTTTTTCATTTAAGGATGTATTGGACGTACAATCTTAGACAAAAGTGCATGAAATTGGAAATACTTAAATATCTACTCTTAACGCATAGTAAATCTAGATGTAAGAAACTTTAACGATAGTTGAAGTCTTATTTGTATTTCTACAAAGGTATTTTTCATTTTACAAATGTTTTTTTTCCTGCATTATTTGCGATTTTTTTCACTTATGAGCCTAAACTTTTGATAGTGAAAATACTCTGATTTCAATTCTTAATAACGTCAAATATTTTCAACACTAAAAAATTCGTGCCGACAGCACAAATATCTAAAGTTATATTTTATTATAGTTTATTTCTTTAAAACACGGTGCAGTAAAGTTTATTGAAACTTGGTAGATATTTTCATCTATTCGTATATTAGATGTATAAAAAAATTCAAAACACTAGTACTATTTCTTCTATATTTTTTTAGCTGTTTTATCCGTGAAGATCGGCTTTTCCCATAAGAGTACGTGTAAAATCAGTGTAAATTAAAATAGTTATATCTCAGCAACCGTTTAGTGGATGCATTTTTACTTTTCTGCAATGAATTAGAAAGACTAAAAGAACAATTTCACAAATTTTTAGCGACTTTGTACTATTTTGAAGATAGGTCCGATACATCCTTAAGTTGATAATGACAAACGTATATTTTATTATTTATATTTCAAAATCCACAGCATACCATATTAATTGATATAAAAATCTTTCATTTATATATTATATATGTATGTTACTTTTATCGTAACTTTTATTATATTCAATTTTCAGACATCGATCGATATTCTATTATTTTATCATGGGTTATTATATTGAAAATTATTACGTTAAAAATTGGAATGTAAAATTGAGAGTATAATTGAAGTTTTTTCTTTATAATTTGAGTATTAAAAATTTTATCTTATATTTTTCGTGGTTTCACAACTTTGAAATAAAAAGTAGTTTTATTAATGCCTAATCTTGGTCACTCACTATATGTATATGAAACAATTAAGATAGAAAATATTTTTAGCACTAAAAGCGCGCTCCCTGAGCGCACCTTACAAGTATGCCACTGAAAATCGCAGTGGTATACTTATAACTGTAAATCAGTGACTAGGTATTCACTGTTTTCACTGATTGATTTTTAGAGAGTATCCCTGTATATGTCACTGTACTACATGTATACGGTAAATACGTATTGTGTTTTATGGAAATAATAATAAGCAAATGTGTAGAAATTATGCATATTTTATATTAACCAGACAACACAAAAGCGCGCGTCATTTGCTCTCTCTAAAAATTCACCTGATTTGACAGCTGCAAATAACACGACTGAAGCACGTCGTATCGCACTATTTGCTCTATTCCAAAGCACTTACGTACATATACTAAGATTTATATTTTCAGGTATGAAATTCGGTTATATGCAAATAAAGGTTGGACTCGTGAGCCTTTTGTCAAAATTCAAATTCAAACTCCATCCCCAAACTCCGGTCCCGCTCACTTTCGATGAAGCGTCCATTCTGGTACTTGCAGCCAAAGGTGGCGTCTGTCTTACCATCGAGCAGCGATGAATATTTCTAGATACTCAAAGTTTCCAACAAAAAAAAATATATATATACATATATAGGTATCATTGACTGTATAGGAATTTTGTACGACACGATTATTTGTATTATACATTTTAGTTGTGGTTTTATGTACCAGCAGAATCCTGGAAATTATTAGAATATTTTGTTAGAAAGACAATCATATGTAATTTTAATATTAAATGAGGAACAATGTAATTAAATAATATATGATTACTAGAGTAAATTCACATATATTTGAAACTACAAGGGAAAGGAACCAATGCACGTATTCGCATATTTAAATACAATATTAAATTATATATAAATTTCAAAACGTGAAAAATAGTATGATATATGAATTAATTGACGAAAATTTTAGAGAAAATTCTGTTAAAATCTGTTACACCGAAAAAATTGTATTCTTGAAATGTGTGTATTTTTTAAGCCCTCTTAACGAATATACATATATAATACATAACTAACATACAATATTCCTAATTTGCGGTGACTTTAGTAAGAAATTTGTCCGCATGCGCGGTATCAATATTAACGTATTAATTTAAGCTACAATTCGTAATATCTAATACAACTATTTGTAATTTAGCCCAACTATCCAATTTCATCATGTATCTGTACACATGATGAAATTTTCAACTACAAGTACGTATACATATGTATATTTATTTGTAAAATTATATGTAAAAATAAATATAGTAAATGGCCATTTGTATACAACTATTTCTTGTTATAATTAGTCGAGATATCAAATCCAAAACATGAAGTAATATAATGATATCATTCAGTATACCTATTATAATTTCTTGTACTGTAACTTAAACTAAGAGGATCCTCTTAGCACTTATTTTTGCAAGGAATTGAGCTATTATTTATTAACGTGAATAAAATATTCTGAAGATAAGAATAAAATTATTAAAGAATACAATCTCTATATCGATGCACTGTACCCTATTTGTAATTTAATTTGCCGAAACATAAAAATTATGAATGTTGAGAATAAACTGATTACAATGAGATGGGCGATAAAATATTTCTTATTAAGAAAAAGTTGAAGTAAAATTTGTGAGGGAATGATTAGAAAATGGAGGCGAGTGAAGAATAGAATGAGACATTCTTCTCGAGAAGGAAAGAGAATAGGTATACACACAGAGAGCTCGGAGAATGGCAACAATATTTTATTGTGCAGTCTGGCACGTGAACACAGTGACATATGATCGCTGAGTCTGATACAGAATAGAAAAGGAAAAGGATGGCTGTTCATGCCGCTGCGCGCAGTGTTAGGCCGGGCAAGTAGACACTTGACGAGCGCGCGATTGTCGCGAGTCTCTCTCTCTCTCTCCCCTCTCTCTTAGAATTAGAGGTGATAACTCTTATATTCATAGGCCTCTACGGGTAAAGCGTTTATCAAACCGAAGGGTTCGGCGTCGTGCAGAGAGACCGGGTGGTGTGCCGCTGCAGTCGCAGCCGCGGTATTAGCCGCGTGCGCTGCCGCGGCCGCGGCATTGCTCTGTGCAGCTTGAGCGGCGTTGGCGGCCTTTTGTGCCGCAGCCTGCGTCGTCTCAAAGTCCAAACGGGCTGCCGCGAGTTGCTCGGCGATCGCCTCGGCACGTGCCTTAGCCTGGCCTACCATCGTCGTTTGCGCGGCCAGCTCGGCCGCGGCCTCGGCTGCCGCTTGCGCAGCATGCTCGGCAGTTGCTTGCGCCGCGTTCAACGCCGTCGTGATCACTTGCACTTGGTGCATCGCTTGTTGCGCCGCGTTCTTCGCAGCTGTGGCCGCCCGTTGAGCTTGCTGCAATTGTTGCTTCTCACCGTCCACCGCGACATGCGCATCCCTCGACTGTTGCTCCAGACCCATCACTATAATTTGCTTGCCGGCTAGGGCTGCAGCGGCAGTCGCCGCGGATTGCGCTGCTGCTTGAGCCAGGGTGTTTTTCGCTACGTACGCCGCCTGTCCAGCGGCCGCTGGTTGCTGATTCAATTGTGTGTGAGCTTGGTCAGCGGCTCCTACAATCAGAACACAGATATATGAATAACGTATAAAAATAAGACAAGGACGGATATAAATGTATCTAACCCTTAGCTATACTGGCCAAAGGACCACCCACGCTGTAACCAGGTCGGATGAGACTCGAACGATGACCACTCGCAGCGACTGCTATGACAGGCGCAGCTTCGACATAAGGACCATTTGACTCGATCAAACCTAGCGCGGATGCATCATGACCCGCGTAATCAAATTCATAACCATCGATCACTTCTTGATCGTGAATCTGCTTTTTAGTTTTAGTTTTGCCGCAGTACACGAGAGTCACATAAGCCAAAAACATCAACAAGATCTTCATGTTGAAACGTGAGATTTTAGTTGTGGTTAATGGATATCTGTAAAAAATGGGAAAAGTTTTATTTACCATTTCAATTAGTTTCTATAATTCATCAAAATTAATACATTTTCTCCAAATAGGTAAAGGTCTCTTGGTGTACCTATTTTATCTCATAATTGACTCGAAATCAAGTTACGTTATTGAATGAAAGGTGATTATTTCTTCTTTTTTCGTCGAGGACAATTTTCTACTACCTGTACATCGAAAATGTCTGATGGAAAAATGTGAAAAGTGTGGCGGTGCGGTTCAGATATCATTTACACTGGTTTGATTTCGTAATTGGTTTTTCTCCAGAAATACTCATTTCTTGGAGAATAAGAATTTCTTCCGAGTCTGCTCTACGACGTGCATGACTGCACGATGAGCTTGATTGATTGCTTCGAATCGATTCAAGTGTGAAGAAAGAGGACCATTGTCGCGACGATGATACGGTATTCAGTGTTGTATAATAATTGAACGCACCACTGCTGAATCGATCGATTGATCGGAGAAAGCGATACATAAAAACTATGACGCAACCGCAAAAGTGATCACCGATACGATAAGTATATATCTCTGGAAATAAGTCGTTTTTCAATCTATTTTGTGAAAAAAATATCAAATTAATTAAAGTTATAACTTTTACTTACTGTCAGTAACATCATAAAGACATTGAATTTATCTACGACCGTGACTAGCCATCGATTGATGAAATAGAGAAAAGTCATATTTTTTCATCTTATATTCTTTCTATATCAAAGGTGCTTTATTATTTATATTGAGGATCGAAATGTATGACCGTGTACCGACGTGCACGTGACGCATAACACACCGCCTTTCCAAGTGTCGCAACTATGCACCGCGATCGCTTAAAATCGGAAACCCGGTTTCGTCTCGCTCTGAAAAGCGCTCGTGCACGTCATTCATATCATGGGACGTATATCTCATACGAGACTTGATTGAATCTCTACCCATACAAATATCCAACTATCGGATAATCACACAGAGTAGTCGAAGCTATTTCTTTGCGACCATGACGAGAATTTTAATTTACGCTAATTAATCGAGTTCAAAATCGAGTTTAAACGATAATTACGATATGTACGCAAACACATCTAGACAACTATGCGTGCGCGTACGCACGTGTATCTATGTCAATGCTGCCATTTTTATGTTTACGTTTGTCCTTGAAATAAAATATTTTTCCATACCCTAGTTACATGTCCCTGTATTACGGAGGTATTTTGATTACGACACGACTTTGCATAAACTAAAAATCGATGCACTTGATTACATATTACACATTCGAGCGTGAGTCAAGTTTCAAGTGTGGGAAGATCCTTTCTATGGATCAATTGTTTTTGTCTCTTTCTCTCTTTCGCAACACATATGTATACACACACGTAGAATGAATGAACGAGGAAAAGGGGAGGGGAAAGAGACACATGTTTTGTATTAATTCGTATTTTAAAAATTTCATTATTTTCGGAAATTCAAAAGTGATTTATATGCAAACCGATATAAAATTGCATTGTACACAATAGATTTAGTCGACCTTAACGTGTTTAATAAATTAAAAATTAAAAATATACATGATTAGAAAATTAACGGCACACAGATCAAATATGTACACTGTCTACCATGGCCGGAGAATGACTCAATGAATTGCATTGTACACAGTATCAATAATGAAATTAGTAAAATTAATTGCAATGTGTAGGAATTTGTTAAAACATCCCTCGTATCTCTGTAATATGCAAGAAAAGGAGCATCCATTTTTTTTTATCAAAAGATAATTTTTTTTTTAATTATGATATATGTATATCATATAAATATTATAAATTATATGTGTTATCAGCAAACTCGTAAAATTATTAACAAATCAATACTAGCGTATAATGTTTTTATCATTGTTTTATTTCATCTACAACACAAGATTTAATCTACAAAATAATAAGAGGACAACATAATTACGTAACATTTATTTAATAAGAAATTTAGCATTAATTGAATGTAATTAGCCAATTGATTTATTGACTTATTTATTATATTAATAATATAATCATATTAGTATGAGCTGTTTATATATGAATGTTAAGCAGAGAGAGAGAGAGAGAGAGAGAGAGAGAGAGAGAGAGAGAGAGAGAGAGAGAGAGAGAGAGAGAGAGAAATGAGAGAAAACACAAGCGGATGTCAATAATGTATGCAATCGACTGAAAAAGTGTCTTATTCTAACAATTCGTTGAAAATTATTTCGGATTAAAAGAGAACGAAAAGACCATAAACTACTAAAGAAAAACTAGCAATTCAAGCAGTTCTTAGCTCTCAATGCATCTAGTGAAAATGAATAAGAATTTAGATTAACTTCTTTTATTATGTTTTCACAATTTATAACTAACAATCTGGTCGTATGCAATAATATATGTTAGGCAGATAAATAATAATTGATAAATATATCATAAAAATGTTTCAAAAATATGTAAAGATATCACGTGTAATTTGGATAAAAAACAATTTTGCCATTATTAATTCTAATTGAAGATATTTAAGTTTTACACAGATGGTTATAAAATATGTCTATGTATAAACACCAGGAATACTACAAGTGTCTACATTAAACAGACCACATAGGTATTTTGATTATACAAGTAAGTCATGTAAAATATTTTCTTGATTATGAAAGGAAATTTAAAATGAATCTTTATAATAATGGGTAAATATTATTTATGATAACTAAAAATTAAGAAGAGGCTGTATATGATACTATTTTTAAATGTTGAATTTTTGATTTACGTAAAATATTTTGATAAATTTTCCGTCTTTTTGAAATTACTCTTGTCGCGATATTTATTTTGAGTTATATACATTATTTCCAAGCAAACCACGAACACAGAAGAGATTTCTTGAGACAGTTAGTGAAGAATTTCTATACTTACTTGACAGCCGTGCCAGTCAAGCGCTTAGAGAATAGTTGTCCTTGCTCGAAGGAGTTGAGAACTGATACCAGTTACTCGTTCATCGGAGCTCTTATAGCTCCTGTCTAGTCCAGCTAATCTATAGTCACGGAAGGGATTGCAGACGTTCAAAATAGCGCCCTGCCAATATTCTTTTCCGCCTATTATGTTTCATTATGCGTGTCTCTCTCTCTCTTTCTCTCTCAAATATTATACCTACACTGCAATGTTTAAAGAAAATTGAGATAAACTTTCAAAATAAGCAATTGTTAATGAACTTACGCGTGTACAATAAAAAATTATATAATACATGTAAAAAAAAGTTGCGAGTAAAAACGCTGAATGAAAATGAAACACACACACACACATTTGAATTATAAGAATAATAAAGGTACCATCGTAATATGTTCCTGAAATACCTAACAAATGGTTGAATAGAACGATACTTGGTATCATTTTACTTAAAGCTTTATTTAAAATAGAAGCGCTACATGTTATGAAAGAGATTTAATTGATAGAACTTTTCAAATAAAATTATTTCAAATGATTTCTTACACCTGAATTTTTCTACTCTTTCAAAGCATATACATTATTTCCGCAATCCCTTGCAATTAATAAAAATTAATAAAATGATGACAAATCGCACGCGCGCACCTGCCAAGCGGTCATTGAAATTTGAACTTGTTATAGTTTCTACAATTGCGGTACAATGTAATGCTTACTTGTAGAGAGAACAGATTGTGTGGTTAGATATCGATTTCTATCCGCGAGATTCTTCGTGGGATTAAGGAAGTGTTGATTACGTAAAAGAATGTAAAAAGAGTACAGATCATATAAATTTGTTCTTTATCGCTGCGCTCAAAAATAGCCCAATATTTTCTTTCAAATATTTACCTCTATAATATATGTATGTATACATACTTGCACATGCATTGTACATACAAAGCACTGAATGTAAGTTGGAGAATAATATATAACTTCACACAACAATATCATGAAATATATCGAAAAAAAGGACTAATCATTTAGCCGTTTTCGTCATCAAATCAAGACATACATGGTGCGAATTTATATCGAATTTTATTACGATTGTTTGACGTGCATTCACTCGGCATAATGAATATTTTCCATATTTTTTATATCAGTGAGTACGAGTTTTATGATTAATTTTTTTGTTCATCATTTTATATTAAATAATTGACATTTCTACCATAACCAAAACGTCAATTTTTAGTCATACTGATGTTCGTAATATCCGATTGTGGACGGATTCATAAAGTCCCCATTAGTACGGTAAGTTTAACATATTTTTTTCTTTATAAACAATTTTTAATATATTAATAAAATTTAAATGTTGGCGTATACAAATTACGCTCGCACGAATGTGCATAATTGCTCATCTTAATTTATTATTGTGCATTGAGCTCTAAATTATTGTTAAAAAACTTTGTCAAATTCGAAAGACCCTGCTTTGTCTGTCATTTCAGTAATATTACAACAGCAGAATAGTTGATGTAGCAAAATATTCCATAATCAAATGGACGTTGTAATTAATATTTTTAATACAAGCACCAATTGTTGAAATACCACTAGAAAGGACATGTGAAATGTAGTAGTATTGTTTTCTGAAATAATTACAGAGTCAAAGAGACACGCGTCATGCTGAAAGCGCAAACTGTCGCGGCGTTTTACCGAATGCTTTACAGAAGAAAACTATTGAAAAAACGAGCAATATCGCACAAAAAGCCGCGCAGGAAGCGAAGGCCGCGTCTGAAGCGCAGAACATCGCTGGTCAGCAAGCAGCGCGTCAAGTACCTAATTATGTTATATTTCATTTAATTTCATTACAATGCATTTTGCTTTTGTATTTGTTCCCCTAGATACAAAAATAATCAAGAGAGCTAAGAGAATGTCACTCTTCCTAATTTCCTGTTAGATTTGCATCCATACGGATATTGTTGGATAAAAATTGAAATTATTGTGAAATTAGCGGCGCGCCAACAATTTGCGCAAACGTTTGTTAATTACATGTTAAGATTGGTATTTTGTTAAGGAAATTCGCTACATGTATACGTAATAGGTGAAGGCTCAACTGGCGGAGAAGGCGGTTCAAGCTGCGAAAGCCGCCGAGGCCGCCTTATCGGACAAGGAAACGATGGTCGAACAGCTGCGAGAGGAAGTGAAGGAGGCACGATCGGTTGTTCGAGAAGAAGCGTCTTCCCTGGAACAAGCGCAGGTTAACATCAACGCCGCGGTCCAAGCGGCACGGCAGTCACAAGATCAGGTATACGATAGGTAAAAGACGCACATTTCGAAGGATTCACGGATGTTTTTCCTTTCTTCTAATTTCTTTTTCATTAATATCTCAAACGCTTTCATCTTCTTTCGTTCCTCTATCGGTGTTTTGCCCTTCCCGAGCTTCTTTGCCACTATTCTACTACTGCCCTCTTCGCGAATATGTTTTGTCTTCTACAGCTTTCTCGAGGTATCGTTAAATAACACTCGCACTACAATCAAGTAAAGTACTAAACTTGATGAAAGTTGCGCTAGTGATATCATTAATGCGATCGGACAATGTTTGCTTGAAATCGATTTTGGTGGGATACAAACAATAGACATACAGTTACTAGGTGGGAGGTTTACTCTTTCGAATGAGCAACTTTTAATCTAACCCGTTTCTGTACAGGGACAACGACTCATCTAATTATTATTCATTTAAACACGTTTTTGCGATCAGACGTTGATATTGACCTTTTCTAGTTGTTAATTTTTCCTCCCTTGATTTCTTCAATTTCCTTATATTCTCTTGTTAATCCCACTTGGCGAAACTGATCGGTCATCACCGGCAGATGGTCGGCCTAATATTGAGTTGTAAATAATACCGCTATATTTGTCGAATCGCGTACCTATGTGGTCACAGCCGAGGATCATTAATTAGAATTATAGCAATCTTACTAATCAATTTAATTGCTATACGTATAAAATATGCATTATTGTAAAGAAATTTGTTGCATGAGATATTATTTGATTGACATTTACCGTGGTGAAAGAGAAAGGAGGCTTACAAATCACCAATTTGTACACATATATGATATCATTCTCTTCTTAAAGTGCTTATAAAACCATCTGTTTAATTAGACTTGTATTAAAATGAAAAATAGTACTTGGTTATTCTCTCTCATCGTCATCATCGTCATCATCGTCATCAGGTGCTACTATTGTATACGTATAGAATGGAGAATGTCCGCTCTCTTTAATATATTAAAGAAATGGCTCTTTTATGTTGATTGAATATCTTAAATAGAAAAGGATGAAAATGATTCCAGCAGTTTGCTGTGTTAAAAACTCCATTTTACATGTCTATAAAACGTTTATTACACAATAATGCTCAGTTATACAGAAATGTAGAAAGCGTTGATCCCATGTAGCCTGCAATTAACAATTTTCTGGAAATGCAGCTCAAGACATTGACGAATGCAGTACGTACAGCCAAATCGAATGCGGCGAACGCGCAAGCAGTCGCCAACGGGGCACAGAAATCGCTGCGAGAAAAAGAGGAATTACTGGAAGCGGCCAAGAGGCGAGTGGACGAGTTATCAAATCAATTACTAAGTGCTCGACAGGATCTTGCAAACACGAATCGCGCAGCGGCCAAAGCCAATGCTGCTGCACATGAGGCGAAGGCGAATGCTGCTAGGAATAAAAGAAGACTAGCACATCTCAGAAAGATGCGTGCGACGCGACTGGGTGTAGCACGAACTTCCTCTTAAGACACACACACACACTTGTCACAATTCTCACCAAATTATGTCAAATTATGTTACTAGCGAGATTAGCAAATTCGTCGTACGTTCTTAAAAATAATAACATTAATAATAACAACAATTATTACAACAATTACACAATTATACAACATATGATATTGCCAACAATGTTAATATAAGGGTGATCCGATTAATTTCTCTCCTTTGTTCTTTATTTCATATTCTTGATCAATATTTACCGTATATATTTTTGCAGTGTAAATTCCATTAATACATGATCGTAATCGTGATTCACGCGACATAGCAAATGTAAATATCATGATATTTTTAGTCAGCGCTGCAGAAATTTGCACATAATTTGCAGGAAGAAGAACTGACCTTATGCACGGAAACAAATACATCTTGATTTAAAATACAATATTTTTCTCCATTTATATTTGTAATTAATTAATAATTTCGGAAAACGTACATTTATGATGATGTTACAAATACTAAATGAAACAAAAATAATAAAATCATTGTCGAAGAAAGTTACAATTGTCTCTCGATGAGAAAAGATGAGTCAAATTTTTTATTATTTTTCTTAATAATTTTTAACGTAACATTGTATACGCGCTGACATTTACATTGAAATCGTGATATACATATATATTCAGTTCACCAAGTGAAGCGAGCGTCACGCTTCGGTTATCGCTTGCCTTTCTAGAACGCCGCAAATGCATCTCGTCCGCACCTTTGTCCATATGTTGCAATATCACAAACGCAATAGAATTGCGTACTCGTTATCTAATTTTAAAAAAAGCGCAAAAAAACTATTTGAATTATCGATGCTCGTACTTTGAACGATAATAACGAGTCCTTTTTTTTTAATTGCGATTTATCTCACACGCGGCAAAAAGACTTTCTCTCGGAATCCTTGATTTGTAAATCCTTGATTTATATTTAGCCCTTTCATAACGCTGTCGTCATATCAATCGTTGATTCGTATTTTTATTATCCAAGAAGATTGTATATATATATGTGTGTGTAGACAATTAAATATGATGCGGTGAATTTTTAAGGCTACTTGAAGATTTAAAAGCAAAAGGCTTTTTAAGCAGACATTCTTCTTGCGTTGTCTCTAATTGAGATTTATCTCAAAGTGAGCGGTCGCAAAGTGTCATTAAAAGCTAATTGTTACAACAAATTCGATGTTGTTGTCAGTATTCAATTGTACAAAATTTCTCAAAATAAGCATGTGCCAGTTGCCAAGTCATTTATTTTGAAGATAATATATTTACAGAGTTTAATATGTTTGTTATAGGAGTGATATTGTATCAGTATAGAATAAAGTGAACACGAAAAAAGATTAATAAGAAAGAAGAAAGACGATTACAATAGCATAGGCTAAATTTCTTCCCATTCTTCCTTCATTTAAATCAAAATCTTTGTAGTTATTAATGAAATCAGTTTGATCCCGGACAAAAAGTTGATTTTCCTCAGGTCGCAACCGCTCTCACGTTAGGGTAATACTTTCACTCGAAATCCTTCGATTATGCTTAAACATGGCATTGTTATGCGATATTATCACGCGAATCACTCTTAGTAATTTGCAAGGCCAATTCATTGCCCAAGGCATTTGTGAATGAACGAGGCGGGTCAAAGATTTTTTCAATGCACCAAATATGCACGGTCTATTACCTTGGGCGGGGTTAACACCAACTCTAATGATATGCAATTAAGTTATAGGACGTAAGGCGTAATAAGGAAACGTTCAACGAACGAATGCCAATTGAACTTAATCAACAACCTAAGTTAATTTAGTTAAATATTATTTCGCAAATATATAGAACACGCAAAGTTATTCAAAGTAAGTTAAATAATTGATTTCTTCTTGTTGCTGTAGTTGCTGATTTGATTATAATAAATGTAGGTTAAATTTCAATTTAAGTAAATTCTTAATGATCGCACACAATGATACACACACGTGTACAGTTTAATAGACATTTGTTAGACGTTTGAATTAATTAATTGCATAATGCAATTGCAATTGCATAATGAATCGAGTGACGTAGGCATGGTATCGTGTTAATATATGCATTGTCTAGAAACACTACTTTGAACATTAGTTCCGCCTATACAGCCAATCACTTCGTTGCTATTCAAAGCCATTCACTCGAGAATACTTAACGATTTCTGAGCAATGATAAGCGCGCGGGCACAGATACGAACATATATCTCATGCTTAAGTTGATATAAATCGCAGATCCTATACTTTTATAATTCACTACCGGCATGTTGTCAATTTTACCACTCTGTTTTATATATATTATTAACATGTATGTAGAGAGAGAGAGAGAGAGAGAGAGAGAGAGAGAGCCATTTGTTTTGCATTTCTTTTAAAATTATGAGCATACATTCTGTGTCGAATTTTAAATTAATCCTTATTTATAAAAATTTCTATTAGACATTATCACATTTCACTTCTTTTAACTAAATTTATAAAGAAATTGTTATATTAAACAGAAATGGTTAAAATTGATTATAAAATATTATAAATAAATTAATTCTTATTATTAGAAAATATAGAATTTAATAGAACTGTTAATGAAAATTTCTACAATGAATTCATTGCAACACATCAAAAGATATCGCGGCTTTGAAACACTTAAAAACTGTGGAATAGTGTAGAAAATCACTTTTCGAGTACGAAGCTCTTCCCGTTTAATTATTAAAATTAATGGTTAAAAGTTGACGCGATATATTTATAGTATCCCTTGGGTAATATGTTTGCGCGAGTTAAATGCAGCTTAAATAAAGATGGTGGTAGATAAACTGTCGCCGATAGGAAGAATTTGTCTTTGAAACACGAAAAACTCACGTTACGATGTTTCGCAGAGAAAGCTCGATAAGAGGGACAAGTTGCTCGAGGAAGCAAAGAATAGAGTTGACATGTTGCAGACACCGTATTTTACGGCGTGTCACAAATGAGCTGACTAAAACGATATCTATTTTCTTTGCTCCAATATATTATATTTTTAATAATATATGTATATACTATTATAGCAGGTAACACAAATAAATAAGAAAAATGTAATACTATTTGCAAATATTTCATCTTTAAAAGAGGAGATACCTGTATTATGAGGTAAGGCTACTAACAATAAGATAGTAAAGTTTCTGCTAAACTAATATGCGCCAGTTGGTTCCACCATCAACTTATTTCTCTTGGAGTGAAAACTATTTAGTGAAAAATTCATTGTTCGATCGTGCGTGTAGTCGTTATGAAAAAAGATTTAAGAAATTGAAGTTCTATTGAGGTGAGTGTTTTTAGACTTTGTGTATTATGTAATAAATAAATATTTGGCAATAAATTCTACGTGCAGCGATAGAGTAAGATTGTATTAAAGCGGGAAAATACTTTAGTTGTAGAGATTAGATTTGGTGATCGCAAAACCGCAAGGCGTGCGGCTTGTACACTATATGTATAATAGGATATTCAGCTGGCACTCGTACAAAATAATATATGCTCGAGTGTTAGCTATCGCGAGCAGGTAGCTGTTAATAAAAATAATACATAAATCCAAGCAACACCACCAGCAAAACGACAAACTTCCGTGATTCAGATTAAAAATATTTAAGTTTCTTTATTATAAAATATATTTGTACTTTATAAACATTTAATAAACTTCTAATTGTAATACTTTAGTAGCAATTTCTCGGGGTACCTCATATTACGAGCTCACTTTTTCGATTTCGCGTAAAGTTTATTTTTCATATTTTTCTAATTAAATAAATAATAATTGAATTGAATTTCAGCATTAAATTTCTTTTAAAATAAGCTATTATATTTTTAAATATTCAGCGTAAAATTCTTTTCAATTAATTAATGCAAATTATTAATTTCAGCCGATTATTAATTGTTGTTTTATCTACAGTCGAAAACCATAATCTTGTTGCAATTTGAGTCGTGCTAGTATTCATTCATTGAGAGATGGAGACACATGCATGAATCTGTATTCCTGGTTACTGTGATTTGAATCTAATTGTAAGCACTTGTAGGTACCACTTTGCGGTACTCCGGTACTACAATAGGCTAAGATTCTACGGTTTACACTATACTCCTAAGGGAATTAATAAAAAAGGAAAACGTATCTGTATTATAATTCCAAGTAGGCAATATCACAAAGCCTTTTTGCAAATAGTCAAAATCTTATATTTTTATAGCCTTATTTTTTTATTGCTATTTCTCGGAATATATTTAAGACAAAATTTAAGATTAGGCGACCTGTCATGCTTTATTCCGCTTTTTAATAAAAAGCTAATACTTTCAACAAACTGATATGTTATTTAAATTAATGTCGTATAAATCAATTATATGTATGACACAATAAATTATTGTGTTTCGTCTTAAATTAGAATTATGTTACCTAATAAAGTGATCATTCATTTAACTATACACATAATATTAGAGTATTAGAGTTGCGAATAAATCTACTTCCTTTCTTATACTTTCGTATCCTATTTGTTGAAAACTATATTGCTGATTAATTTATAGGTTGAAATTGATAAAGCATTCATAAATGCAGAAACGTGACTTATTATTCGGTGCAAATTGTTTTGTATTACGTTTTGGCCTAAATTAATTCCTCCTGTCGCGTTCGCTGTAATTACCCTTCGAACTACATACATTCTCTAAAAATCTCTACAAATGATATATTCTTAAATACAGTATGTTTATTTAAGCACTTATTTTTAATAAGGCTCCATAAATGTACAATTTGTTACCATTACAAACATACCTAGAATTTATTTTCTCATATCTCACACAATCATCATCTAATGACACTACAAGTTGGACCTGAGCCTGCTCTAGATTTGAACTTGGTCGTGACTCCTCTTATAGATATGTAGGACAGTTTAACACCGATTCCGAACAGCTCGATAGGGGGATGTTTATTCAAGAGTTTCTTAAAAATTTCGAGATAGAATTTGTTTTCTAACAGTAGGTAGGTGTTGTCAATCTATTGTTTAACTCCTAATCTGGAGAGCCATACATCTCGGTGGTTGCCGCAGAAATGGTCTGTTCAATGGGCCTCATGGCATTTGACCACATGCCATACGCCGACTAGAATCTATTGATTGCACTTGAAAAGGGCCAATACCCATGGCCGAATCGGATTATTCAACCTATTTGCTAACTAATTGCTTGAAAACATATTGCCTTACGAGAACAATGCAAATATAAAAATCATGCGTGAGGATGTTATTTTCTTTTTATTAAATCGTGTGTATGTATCATTCATAAATCCTAAATCACACAATTTTCAGAATAAATCGATAAAATAACGAACTTTCAAAGCACTGATATAATTGGTACGTAATTTTAGGACGGACGGCTCTTGTATGTTATATGGTAGAATCCATTATGCGATAGAGAGAAGAAATTTTGTCTCGTAATGATTTATGTCATTTACATCATTCTTTTACTTTTAATTAAAGAGTATACCTAAGTTTTCTCAGAAGCTTATTAAAATACGTGTAACGCTGGATAAATCTCTTGTTCGTTTCTTTCGACTTTTTTCCTGAGAATCAAATCAAGATCAACAATGATCATACGTGTGAGCAACGTAATTTGTTGTAGTACTATTGCTATATTGTTGAAGAATATAATAATATAATAGGAATAAATAACGTACACACAAGCGTCTCATTTATTATATTATTTGTGTGTGTGTATAAATATGTAGAAGTAAAATGTGCTCGTTAATACAAATAACTGTAACAAGAAAACGTAATGTAATAATAAAACAACCTGACAATTGTCGCGACTTGGATCATCCAAATTGTTACTCAATCGGAAAGAACAATATATAATAGTAATAATAATAATAATAGGAAGAAAGGAAAATGGAGACAGAGAGAGTCGACTAGTGACGATCTCGATCGTCTAGTGAAAGTATTTCAAACACAATTCACGTGCTTCAACCTCCCCGAGTATATCACGCGGCGAACTCTTACCAACAGGCTCAGTATCATCTTCACCATCCTTCAACTTCCTGACTCAGTCTTTATATCGTAGTCTAATATACCAGTTGCCTTCAAGTGTGCATTTTAAGGAGATATACTTTTCAGAGTCGGAACAACTTGTTTCCAAAATATTCTTTAGTAGCCTTATTTACGAACAAAGCGTGAATCTTCGAAGAGTGTGCGTTTTATTTAAGATATTGGAGGAAACTTGATGACAAATTTCCAAGGTATGCATTATCTTTGTCATTTTATAATTATCGTTTTTCGACAAGATTTATGTTTATGTTGATGATTACAATATCGCATATTAATATTATCTCCATTCATAATATATTGAAATAAAATATTTCATTTCAATAATGATAGAGAAAATAAACACGTAAATCAATTCGTTTTCCTTACCTACACCTACGTATTCGTTATCCTTCTCTATTCAAGACGTGAAACAGATTAGAAGGCATCGAGCATTTGTTTTCCATAGGAAATTAAAAGGAAATTACAATTTGTCCGCAATATGTAAAAAGGGGAAGAAAAGGTAAAAGAACTGAGGCTATCATTTCTCGAGCGATATTAATTGAAAAGCATGCAGATTCCACGATCTCGTGGTACATTATAGTATTTGTAACGAAACGTAACGGTAAAGGTAAGAATAACCTTCAATAAATAAAAGAACAATGCGTAAAACTACTATATAACATAATCATTGTCAGAAGGCACTCGATTGCAGCGTATTAATAATCGACGACAAAAACAATTAGTTTAGTTTTAGTAGGAAATTATTGTCCTCGATTTAGCTGTCCGCGTGTCGTCGGGAGATGTAAAATACTTGAAATCTATTGCAAAGCATGAAGAGTAACGTAACATCCTGCATGATTCTTCGACTTTCTTCGATTACGTGGCGTCTACCTACAGATGCGCTCTATAGTGGCAACTTTAGGCTCACGTAAAATCTCGATCGCGAGAAAGCGAAAGTTCGCACAGAATCTAAGCGATACGGACATCCGGATGGATGATTTAACACGAGCGCAAATTGATGATCGCCCGATGCAATTACGCTCGTGTGAAAGGATATTTGAGTTTGCTTTTACTTGGGGCCACAGTGGAGAAGGGCATCGAGTTCGACAAACAGACATTTCTCCGCTCTCGCGTTATTTCATTTATTTTACTTAATCCCAAATTTAAATTATATAGTATACATTGTTTTATCATTTCTTTTACATTTTGTGAAAAAGTTATGTATCACGTAATTATAATACATTGCACGACGCGCGACGGTACAAATTCCATTCCATTATGTGATTGCATTGTTGCATTGTAGTGAAATGCATGTACTCGTTTACATGGTTGCGCGACATACTTTTGCCATAGACGGAAACTATTTCAATATAAACACTGACTAGACAAATGTGTCTCCTTAAAATTATTCATGTCGTTATCATGCCGTAAAGTTAACACAATCCTAAATATTAAATATCGATCACATAATTGAATAAAAGAAACCTTGTGACGCAAACTTGAAAGATACATGTAATTATCTCGTTAGAAATTCTCTACAATTTCGTGTAATAGTATGTGGCATATTTCTCTTTTTACCGCTGATTCAAGTGCAACGCGATTGTTAAGTATGCGTCAAAGTGGCCACTCTCCATTTCTAACCAAACCACTGATTGAGATACCATGCATCGCTCGTTAGCATATTATTCCTACTTTATTCAATAAAATTAAGGAGGCAAGACAAGTTGAAGCGTAGGCCGGATAGCTCAGTAGGAAGAGAGCATTCACCCGGCAAGCGGAAAATCTCTCAGGTTCGAATCCTTTCTCGTCGAAAAATTAATAAGTGGTGTGTTTTAGTCCCTATCTTCCCGAAGATACATCCCTATTTACTACTATACAATAACGTGAAAGTAAAAAATCCTCGAAACATAATTTCATAATTTGTAAAGATACGTAAATAGTATAATACAAATATTCGATAGCGCTGACGTTTTAAGAGCAATGGAGAAAGATGCGTTACATGAGTAAAAGTATCGTGACTTATAGCAAGAAGAAAGGTAAACTTGATTGCAAACACACACAAACCCACTCGACCGTGCAGATTAAACCGCGTCAAAATTAAACCTGTCTATACAAGTACATTCTCGATAGTGAGGTCATTTGTTCGCCGCTCGAAAATTAGTCTCAAGTTATATAGAAAGTGAATTCTTTCATTTCCTTTCATTGTAATTTCCACTGCGATCATCGATTTCTACACAGATATTTTTGCGACGATGAAAAGTAGTAGTTATTTTTCTGCAGCTATAGCTATTATTTTTTAAATGTTACATTTTACCGATACGATTGCGACAGTTATTACTATACTAGCGAAACTTGTGTTTCTATTTCTGTTTTCAAACTTTCCATTCCTTTCCATTCCGTTGAGAGTTCAATTTTAATATCTTACGAGCTGTGACGGATTGTCAAATCAAAAATGCATACATTTTATTTTGCTATTTAATAATAATTGCTATAGAAACTAAAAAAACTATTATATTATAATATGTGTTAATTACGTGACTGGAGAAAAGATAAAAGGAAGCGGGAGAAAGAGAGGAGAAGGGAGAAGGCGAGGGAAAAAGAAAGAGCCATGCCGTGACAAGACAAATGAATCTAGCGCGAAACAATTGTTTTGTTTAAAGTATAGTAAGAATACGTTTACGATGACCTTGCGTAAATTTACAAGAGAGTGATTCTCGTTATTGTGACTGTAAAAACAAAGAATTGTAATTCAAATCTAAATGAGAGTGAAATCTAAGAATAAGTGTTACAAGTATATTTCTTTTCAGCCTTGCATTCTAGTTATTAGACAACATATATAATTTTAAATATATTGATAAGATGGAAGCAAAATATACATACATATAGGTGGTATAATAAAATTTATTATAGATACGTCAAAATTCGCGGAATATTTGACAAAGAAATTAAACCATTTAGAGATATTGCTCAAGAACTTGTTAATTAAGTATACATAATGTAAAATCGATAGAGAACATTTCCAGCGTATTAATCTCTTTCGTGCATCCCACATACGAGTATCCGTTACGTAGCGGTGAGTCGAGATGAAGAAGATTGCAGTAACTTATATCTCAGAGACGTAATTAGAACAAGGCTAAGGGATAGCGGTGAACACGATCGTGAACACGTAGGTGGCGGATACGCTGATTTCTAAATAGAATGTTCAAACTTGATCATCAAGGGCGATTTTATAGCGCAAATTTTCAAATTTGCTTTTCTTAATAAAAACTAGACTGACTGACGTATGCAGAAAATATTGTTTACGCTTCAATGGTTTTTCCTCGAATAGAGAGTCGAGTACCGACATATTTGCACTCAATGTGATCACCGATCGCACGAACCCACATTTAAATAACTCAACGTTTTGTCTTGATAAAATAGAAGAAATAAAAGGATCAATACTCGTGAGGAAAAAAGTGGTTGGTTATACTTAATTAGATTTACGTAAACTTGAGAAAATATTACGAGTGTGGGAATCAAGCTGTAACACAATTGTAGTTGCAAACAGATTACCTCACGTAATTTACATATCTTGTAAAATGTGCAGGCATTTATTATTCGTAATCGCGTGAGGAAAGCAAGATAATGGATGAATTGTTACACGAATGGGTCGTCAAGTTACCGATAATGACGAAACGCAGCTTATATAATACATTTTCGGTAATAATGTAAAGATACGAAAGTAGGAAAATTTAGCACGATCTTCGTATAGTTTGCCCTAAATATTACCCAGCGGCCCGCATGCCTACATTTTCTATATAGCACGTCAGTTTTCATATTATAACAAAGAGCTTAGCATGCACGTGGTTGATGAAATAATGACGGGATCGTTTAGAAAAATTCAAAAGACCGAGAGAAGAAAGGAAGAGAGAGAGAGAGTAGTTATGCGAGCGATGTGATAATTAATTAGAGAGGTATCTCTTACGAAGCGCACACTTAATGTTTCAGATCAAAGCGAGATTAAAAGGATGCGCTCGATGATATAATTGCAAACGGAAGACATACCCGCAAGCGACATCACTATGAAAATAAGTAGACAAGGATATTGGTGTCGATTGTTGTTGGCAACCGCAATCTTGTCGAGGCATATTAATGCAGAAAAGGTTAAGTAACCGAGAATCATGAGCAATCTTTCCCCCAGTGATGCAAAAAATGTACCATAGATAAAATAAAAATACATACAGATATATTTATATTATACATATAATTGTAGTCATTGTAGAATCGTTAAAGATGAAAGATGAAAGATTAAACGATTACTATTGTGTGGCATCGCAGTAATTTCTCAAATTACAAAATAATGAAAACAAAACGACGCGACGCGATTAGTCGGACAGGTTTGTCAGATCGGTGCTCGTCGAAGGATGATGACTCCAAGACGTAATTCTGTGTGTAGTCGCGGTGAAAGTGTAAGATGGCACTTATACTCGGTTTTTAAATAAGATAACTGACATTTTGCAAGGTGCAATGCGGAGCAACAAAATCGATTTGAATTGTTATATTTGCCAAGTATTTTCGTAATTGGTATACCATATCGTGCAGAGATTACGACTTACGATCGACCGCGTGAAATACCGCTCTTACAATTAATCGCGAAAGATTGTCATTGCAGCGAAAGCGGCAAATTTTTCGAGAGCAAGTGCTACCAGCGTTGGGTGGCAAGATTCCAGAGGAAGCTTTCAGAACAGATCGCCTGGCGCTGAATCGATTGAACAAGGAGGGTATTACCGTACCGGACGGCGTCGTCTTGGATGCTCGGCACGTTCACAAGCATCCTTATCCCAATCAAAGAATGCCGGAAATAATTAAGGCACGTTCGTGCATATGCTATATCATAAATATCGCGGATACTTGGAAAGTATCTCTAATGATTCATTAACTCCCATCTAATCAAGGTTTATCTAACATCGGACGGTCGATACGTACCGCCGGAAGGTCGAGCTCAATATAATTACCCGAAAACTGTCGACACCACTTACATTTTACGAAGACCATTTATGCACACGAATCACAAGACAACCAACAATTTTGTCAACGTCAAACTTGGAAACTATCCGAATTATAAACAATTTCTGCCGATCGCACCGCCCATCAAACCGGGCGTTTATAAGCCTATCGTAGCGCCTCTCGTATTTCCGGCTGACGGAGATCTCATTGATTTATCAAGCTGGACGACGGGATATGAGTGGGACACCGTATACCAACCGTTTGACGATTACTTTGTCGACAATCTCGCACTCTTCGACTCGCACCAGGTAACTTGTTATTTATTTAAGATTTGTTTTATTTTTAAAACATCGAGAATTGATAATCAAGTTATTATTTACAAGTATCATTTAATTACACACGATTTCTCATAATGCAAATATTATGTCAAGAAAAATAAACATGAAAAATGTACATATGTACTCTTTCTCAATCATGGCAAATCCTACTAAATATCGTATAAATGCGTGTATCTATGACGTAAAGAGCCTTTATTTAGATATTTACAAAATTATACCTCAATCATCACTTTATACAATTTAAAAATACATGCTACTGTTATGTGTTGTCAACCTGACTCAAGTCATACATCATTTGCTAGATTATTACAGATTATCAAGGATTTCTTAATGAGTTTCATGGACGATCTCTGAGGCACGTAGATTTGAAAAATAGCGAGAGAAATCAACAGTATTGCCAGGCTCGAAAATATCAAGAATCGAAACTACCGATGTCGAATGTCGACAATCCTTACGATTCTGCCTATACAAGTCTTACGAATATACCGCAAACTAATTTTTCTTGCCATGGAAGGAAGGGAATGTTTGCAGACGTCGAAACCAAATGCCAAGTAGAAAAAGTTTCCTATCCTTTCTTATAATATATTAATTATTATTATTCCTGTAAAAGCGATGAAAATGAATGGAAAGATAACATCTGGAAATTATCACGCTCAACCGAATTATAAATACAAATAGATAAAGACCAAATAAAAATAAAACTCTGATTCATTGTATCTATGTATTCAAACTACACGCTAAATAGGGTCTTGAAAAAGAGGATAAAATATTTTAAGAAAAATCGTCTGGTAAACTGGCGGGCCAACACGTTGCTACGATTATCGGGATCATTGCTGCATAAACAAGTATGCTCATTGGCAGACCATGTTTATTAAGACTTTCCGACTTGCTAGCTTACATGTACATATATTATATGTATTACATTTTTCTCACAAATTCTATTGAAGCGTCTCACATTTCACGTGAATAAATCACTAGATCTTATCTTACAAGACATTCAATCTGCGAGGTCATGGAGCAATAGCATATTATTAATCGTATCGTAAGCGTCACGATGTTGTTTCCGAGCAACGAGCGATTTCAAAACTTTCGCGATGGGTGAAGTGTATATACGGTCCATCCGGATTTCTCTATGTTCGATGCAGGGCGATCTAGATCAACGTCATCTATTATGTTGTAGTTACTCCTTTGACGAAACAGCTGACAGAATTGCGGCATACATTGCAACAGTTTGCGATTCTCGTATTGCGTTGTTGTATTTGTGTCGATTTTCTCGCACGTTATGAAAACTTGTAACGACTAGGTATAAAATGGCATAGAAAATAAATTTATTATAAAATATAATTTACGAATATAAATTGATAAAATTAATATACGGTAATAATTCCTATTGTTATCTATCTTATTCTTATTGATAAATATTTCATTATATACGCGAGTATAATTGCCGAGAGCGACTTTACTTGATTTGATAGTAATTGTGTAACAGCTATACATAGAGGAGAGTTGCCTATCATCTGTTGTTTCCACCATGTATTTATTGCTCTTGAATTGAAATCTGTTTAGTGGAAAACTCATTGTTAGGTGCGTGTAATTGTTGCGAATAAGATTTGTGAAATTAGATTTCTATAGGCATATATCTTTTTGATATTTATTTTTATTATTTTTATTTTTTTCAGGTATTTCACTATTGCTCAGATTGGTCGAAAACATCCTCACTATGTCCACCAGGCACTGCGTTTTGCGAGACAAACAACCGATGCGAATGGTTCTATACCGTACAGTGCAAAAAGTAAATTCAAAATAAATATTACATTATTTTTGTATAAAATTCATAAAAGTAACAAGCGGATGCCAATTCAGGTTAATGAGAGAGAGGGGGAGAGAGAGAGAGAGAGAGAGAGAGAGAGAGAGAGAGAGACACCTCTATAATCATATAAACATTTTACTTATAAAATTGAATCTTATTTAATATACTAATTTAGTAACATATAATTTAAATCATCTACCTCTTTTTTTCATTGAGATTGAAAGTGAAAAAGTGTGTTTCTCTATTGTTTCTCATCAGATATGTAAATTACTATACAATTAACAGTCTATTAAAATGTAAATTACATAACAATTACAAGTTAAGATTCAATTAAAATTGACTTCATCCTTAAAATAGGGAAATTGTGTATTTATAATTCTATATGTTTATTTATAAAAGAATCAAGATATCGCAGACTGTTTGTATGTATCTGTAGAGGGCGATAATCTTCAGTGACTGCCGTCCGCAAGGTAGTCGATGAGATAGATTTCTTCTTTCCTTGCGGGTAATATAAAATTACACTGATGAGTAAACGGAGACAATAATTATTATAAAAATGTAAAATAGGCTTAATTATATAACGCAAATGTAAAAAAAAACATAAATATGCTAGAACTTGAAAACTTTAGTTATTTGTTAGACAAAATTAGACAAGCTTCTCACTTTTGATGATATTTATTGTAATGAGAAACATAATATACATTATTAATTATTAGAATTACATACTAATTATGAATAATTAGTAGAATTACAACGAACCAAAAAGTTATAATTTGCAAGAAGAGTTATAAAAACGAACAATTAACAATGTGCAAAAATAAAATAAAAATAAAACGGTCTCAAACTTTGTTTTGTTCTCTTTATTATTGTTCTTTGAACCTCCGAGACAGTATGCGTTAAAAATGACAAATTATAGAGATGAATACACCAGATATAATACTGTCTTATTTTGATACATAAGTAAATATCTCAAAAAACTACAGACAGATAAATATGTCAAGTATAAAATGGTGATATAATGGTTTTTCTTTTCTTTTTTTAAATGTATATTATTTATTAAGTTACTCGGAATATTAATGCAAATTACAGAATATTAATGTTTTACCGCACAATACATTTTTATTGATAGCTTTCTCAATTAATTTAAAATTAGCGAGTGTAATTGTAATTTCTCGCAAGAAACTCAGAGATATAATTCTGGTTTAGAAAGGTCTGCTAAAAGTATTATACACAATTTTTTATTGTAAAATATTGAATTTTATATACAAATAATATAATCTTCTTTTCGCCAGTGAATAAATAACCGAAAATTAATATTATTCGATCAAAATTTAATTTTTCCGAAATATAAAAATATTTATTTTCTTTGTCTCGTTGTGTTCTGGCTTTTTGCCGTTAACATTTTGTTCTGAAAAGAAGAATCGTAAGATGAAACTTTTTTATGTCTTACAATTAGTCTTACATTGTAAGTTTTACCAATTTCGACACAATTCCGACGATGTCGACAACTTATGGTTTGACCAAATTTCTGTTTCACAATGTGCAATTAGTCGACAATGACGCGTATCTCTTAGGGTGATAATGGAAGGGGTTCAACCTCTCGCGTTACGTATGGTTAAGACTTTCTCTTTCTCTATGTGACATAATGTCTCGTATACCTAGCACGGCCTCACAGCGGAAACTGGTCCAGTTTCGTTCATATTCAAACTCGGTGCAGTCATGTTGAGAAGTCGTGCTATATTTGCGATATTTCTGTGCGCCGCTATGGCAGCGCCCTATTCGATCATTGTACAGGTAAATCTCCATTTAATTTGACAAAAATAATTCTACGTTGTTTATATTTATATGCTATAACTAAAACTTGTACGTACATATATTCTCAACTACATACATACTCGTATATTCTAACTATTTGATGGACAAACTATCTCAAAAAAATATAATCAATCTTTCAGTTGGATTATATATATTTTTTTCCCTGACATTTTAGTAAAACAATTGTAATATATACATATAAATGTGCAGTATTACAGAGAACCGTAATACTATACATGGAACTTTTATCATTTGTGTTCTTAGAGATCTATCACTATTCAGATAGCGCAGAAAATGCAAAAAAATTCCTTTTCCATCCCATTTCTAATCTACTAAACATTTTTAAGAGTTGAAAAGGAATTTGCTTTTACATCACCAATTCTGAGCTCTCTCTCTCTCTCTCTCTCTCTCTCTCTGTAATAAATAAAATGGTAGATATTTTTCCGAAATACACGTGATTCAATAAAATTTTAGTAAGTAATTAAAATGTTGTGGCAACATGCACGTACATAGCCACATGTACCTTACGTTATACGTTATAAGTGTGCGCGCCGCATTGTGCTTTTTATTGTATTTAAACGCGTTGACCCCATTTCTTGGTATTTAAGTAAAGCATCGAATTGATTCGCTTTGTAATAAAATAGCAATATAAAGAGATGAGATAAAAAAACGTCCTTGGCTTTGAATAAATCAAGGCAACATTTCGCGTAGGTTCGTTACACTCTGTTGGATTTCAAACTTTTTCTAAGCTGCAGTGAAAGCGAGTTATGATCCGGTAGTAGGAAGAGATTACTTGTTACATTATTAGAAAAACGTCATCCATTACTTTATTTCAAGTTATTCTTAACAATTTGTCTGTCTGTCTATTTATAATGTCTATCTGTGTAACAGCTAAACTTGTTATTGAACATTTTATTTTTCCAACTTGATATTGATTGATAATTAATCACCGTGAATTTTCATTTCGCAGGGACGTATAATAGTGGACGATTATTATGACGAATATCAAAATTTCCAACCGGTAGTGGGATTTCGCCAACCCATTGTCGTAAAAGAGGAACCGAAGAAAGATCAGAATTTGAACAAGATACCTGGAATCCCCGGAATAGATTATCCCCTTTATCACACAGTGCCGCCTACGAGCTTTTCCTGCGCACACGTTCCAGTCGTACCAGGAATGTACGCAAACGTGGAAACCGGTTGTCAGGTACCTAATCATATTTCTATTTCGTGCTAACGCTGTTACTAGTACGTTTTTATGAAAATAATCAGATTTAATTATCTTGATGCAAAAAGTTTTCGGTGATGGGCCATTATTTAAGGAGCGAATGACAAGCAAAAGTACAAAACGTAAACGTTTGATATAACAAAGGCATTATCCTTATATTTGCAATATCTGCGTATAGAATGGGGTAGACGTGGATGCGTGGCGCAAAGAAATGTTGCTGATATTATTCTGTCGTATGTACAAGCTGGAACTTATTGTTAGAGAGCAAGGTAAAATCATTCTAGTGATTTCGACCGCGCGCCACGGTTCATGCTGCGTGAGCCGCGCGCGGTCAAAGTAGAGCGGATTTATTATGTAAGAGAACGGACTGGCATTATTAAAACCTCAAGGCAACGCGGGAGTAAGAACTGATCTCGCCTTAGTGAAAGACAAACTCTGCGGGAGAACAGTCTTGGCAAATTGTTATCGTAATTGAGCTTGACTCAGCCTCTCTCGGTGTTTCGAGATACGTCGAGTTACGAACTCGTGATTCTTGTCTTTTCGATAATCTTTAGAATTTCCAAAAAGATGTCTCTTGCCTGGAATCTGTGACATTCATGTTTTCCGTCCAAAGTCTAAGTCACCTAAAGCTCATAGCGATACAAGATGTTGCTGATTCTTTCACAAACAATAAAATGCACCGACATATAGTAAATGACGTTACGTGACTCAAATACCCCGTCATGCATCGCAACTTGATTTCCAGAGCGCGCGCTAAACTTTCCATTTCAAGAATGTCATTCGTTTCCTTTGTATTTCCTTAAACCTGTCTTCCTCCCTACCGTTTCACGTCGCTCCTATTATTTTCAGTAAGCTTGCACAACATGTTTCGCATTAATTCCTTAATTATGACGTTTACGTAACCAAAAAGCATCTTATTAGCCTTATTCGGCCGGCTTGTACCGACTTTGACAGTTGTGTGTTCTTTCTGGCAACTCTATGTACCTATATTATTGATATACAAATTTCAATTTTTAGTGCATGTGTGTTTCTTGCGTGCGCATGTGCGTTACGTATACGAGTATATGTATAACACACAATAATATTGTTACAGGCATATCACGTTTGCCACGATGGGCGTGAGGGGCATCAGGGCGCCTCCTTTTTATGCACCAACGGAACGCTTTTTAATCAACACGAATTTGCGTGCGACTGGTGGTACAATGTTAATTGCGCCAATGCGCTATCTCTTTATAGGTAAAGTTCGAATAATCTCAACAGAGATGCATTCATAGAATATGTGAAAAGAGTTTGTAATAATTTTGAATCATGTTTCACTAATCTACTAGTGTTATATTTGCAGGGTAAACGAAGACCCACTAAAGAATCCGTATGTACCAAAAGAGACAAAGGACGCAATTCGGAAAAGATTGCAGATCGTCGTACTTTAAATATTAATTAGCTGCGTGTAGCTGATAAGTTTCATCTACGACATTTCTCTACAAGCCTTATTTATATTTGTTCGTGTGTCTCTTGTCAAGATTAGTAATAAAAGAATAAATACAGGAATGTTAATACTTTATTTACAATCAACAGTGCAAGTTATTTCTCCTTGTAGCACGATAAATATTCCATTTCAACTTGTTAAAATGACATTCCCTGCCAATGGAGGTAGTTTATCAATTGCATTCGTCGAGGAACGAATATTAAAAGAGTATTAAGTGAAAGGCATGTGGAGAGAGTACATACAGGGAGGAATCATTTTAAAGCAAATATGTGAGCAAATAAATGAATGAGATTAATGTCTGTTCTCCTTATCACACAAAATTACATCTCTTTGTGTTTGTATCTCCTTTGATTATATACTTTGTAGAAAATTTAACAATTTAGGATCTAGCAAATAATATGCAAAATTATAAGACATCCGATATACCTCAAGTAATCGGGATTGCATACAAGCAAGTAATCTTGTGTGTTGCATTCACTTGGATATGATGCCAATGGATTTAATGATTTAATTATCGTACTCCATCTTGTGTGAAATGTTGGCAGGGACTTTCTGGCTTCCGCATACATTTGTACGTCTCCTGTGATGGTCGATGCACACACGTAAACATTCGATTGCCATTAATTATCTAGAGAGAAGGATGGATACAAATTCACAGAGAGTATTGTTGGTCAATTTGGTGAATAAATATTTCTTTCTCATGCTGAATTAAACGATTATCAAAAGACACGTTGCCAAAGTAGTAGTAGTTGTTGCTAGTCTTTGCATAATAATTGTATTAATATATCGAATGATTGTGTAAAGCGTAATTTCGCGTGTACGCGTGTGAATGTGTGTAAGTATAGGACAACGGATGTTACGGATATTTTAATTGTGGGAATATCACCAAGAGTGTATTAATTTATTAAAACTGCCAGGGAAGAGAAACTTGATTGCAAACTCTTGCGAAAATCAGAAATAGGTGTTACATAGGCGCGAACTAGGAAGTAAAGTCAAGGACGTTACTTGGCTCACTTTCGTTATCGAAAGGTTGTGAATGTCTTTTGCAGCAGGCCGGATAAGTCGCAAAGCCGGATAAGAGCCGCCCTTTCTCTAGGCCGTTCGAAGCTAATAATGAATATACACAGGTATAGATCACCCTGAATATCAGATTCACGGAAACGGAACTACCACACCAGAGAGTTTTATTCATTCATTTGGTGACGATTACATTGCTGCAAGAGTTATCGTTGTCTTTCATAATAATAATGTTACACATAATTATGTAGGATAAAATAGGATATACGGTAAATTCACAAGAAACAATCGCATTATATCTTTTCTGCCAGACCCATATACATTTTCATCAAAATGTATATAGTTAACAAGCATGTGCATTTCAACCAACTACGATGCAACGACAAGACAGAATTAAAAAGATATTTGTCAGCACAATGGACGCATAAGCAACATTTCTTCATATCAGCTCGTTTATTCAAACATCAAACAAGAGAATGATTTGGAAAATTGTTATGGGATTGTCCAACACCAGTAGAAATTAATCGCACCTCAAGCTGTGCTATGTGCTATGTGATATTTCGAGGTACATTGAAATCTTTTCTACGCCAACTTTCTCGCGCCGTCACAACCACTGACGCGGGAAGAAAGAGGGGCCGCCCATTGTGCGGCATTTACGAAGCTGCAATTAAGGTATTAAAATAGAATTATTAAATATCCTTGGAATAGATTTTTAACTAAGACGTTTCGTACAGATAGATGCTGTCACACCTAGTTTCACGACAAGCTGTAATAAATCCATGGTGACACGTAAGCGAATAATAAAGTCGAGTCGCATACATGTACATGGGTAATACGCGACAAATGTTAAGTCTCGCGTGCGATCAACTCTCATTTCTGTCATTCATGTCGCAAATCATAGCTAATGATTAAGTAGGTACAATTATGAGGTAGTACATTAGCGCAAAGACTTGACTACATATTTTTTCACTGCACTACGGGACGAGATGGCTTCAGAATGCAATTAGAAAGTGGCGTACATAAGAGTAATTTTTATGTAGATAGAAATAAACGTATGCGTACACCGTTCGTGCCGATTCGGCCAAATTCTCGTCTTTTGACGAAACGATCGAGATAGTTGAGTGATACTCATTCAAACTGTCGTATGTCGCCAAGATTTATATGTCAGGCAAACAATACGACAGATTTTATCATATCATTTCCGGATATACTACCATACGGAATTGCACAAAACGCAGCCGTCTGATACGCACGAAACAATCGTCGCCGCGAGTGTCACGCTTGACTAACGAGATGACGTGGATAAGTACAAGCCGTGCATGTTTGTGCAATGACGAAATATGTCGAAATGCAATTCTCTAATCTAAGATTTATCTTATTTCAAATTTGCGCACGCATTGAAAATAACGATTATATATTAAGACATAATTGCTCGAGACAAGGACATCATAAGAAATCCCAAAACTTAAAATGCCAAAAAATTACCAAAACTGCCTGACCATGTCAAGAGAAATTAGATATTGTTCACTAAAATAATTAAATACCGATTAGTTTTCTCCTTTCTTACCAACAGATATTTGAATTTCCCAAGGAAAAAATGGTATAATTTTACCGCTCGATCAAATTATCGGTATACTTGTTATAAGCTACGGATTGAAAAACAATTGAAAAAACGACGGAACGTCGCTAATGACACGGTGTTGACAGTTTTGCCGACAGAAAATTTTTGAAAATTTCTCATAAAGCACACACAAGAGAGAGAGAATTAGCAGCATTTTTCCATCATTTTCTTACTATCTGACCGTCTGAACTCGTGCAATCATAATTGTGTTATGAACGCGTTACACGCTCGCTCACGGCGAATAAACAGCGTGAGACTGCGATGCGAAAGTATATTGGCACACGCCAGCAAAGGCCCGCGTATGTCGGGCGGTTTAGTGAAAAAGCCAAACGTATCAACGCAACTCGCAATCTGATGTACCTGGAATTTGACGTATTAATTAGTTGAAAGAAAAAAATGTGTATAATGGTAAAAGGATGAATGAGCGTTATCGCGTTACGCGTATCATCTCTAAAAATATCTCTTTTGAGATACAGCAAAGATTGATATTCTCCATCCTGGGACATACAACAGCGAGTTATAGATGACAGGTACGTGTCATTCGCGAGGACGAATCGCGAATGCGCGAAAGCGGTTTCGGGAGCACGCATTCATTCTAATCTATATCCAGGCTGTTTATCTTCCGACCGATAGCCTTTCCCACGGCGGTTTATAGCGAGCAAAGCGGCCGCGCTCGTATCTTTCGCGTGCACTTAGTCACACCAGCTCGCATACACAATGCACACGTGCATCGCGAGAGTTTACTTGTACAACTTATACAACGTAAATTTATACAACCTACGACACGCTATGAGAAAAGTCCTGGGAGGCAGCCTGGTGGCGGTTGGCGGAACGAGTGCGGTTGCATGACGCGCGATTGCGCTATAACGCCAGTTTAACTGATCCAGTTTGGAAATGAAATGAAATCGAAATTGTGTGTGTATTGTCTTGACTAGCCACACGTTTAGCTAATTGTTACGAGTCTTTTAGGGACGATACGCTGCCGAGTTGTCGTTGGTCATTGCTACCCTCTCATTTCATTAGTAAATAACACAGGCCAGTTTAGGTTTTCCAAACACATGGCAAACAATAGAAAGTAAGGAAAATGAAGAAGGACTTGCGTCTATGTGCCGAATGTGCGCTCGAGTGCGCAGCGCGTATACGCTGCGGAAAAGTGGCGGATATGAGAACCCCACCTGGTCCGGATCGCGGGCGCGGCCTTTCCCCTCGGACTATAAAGCCACTACAACTCCACTTCCACCAAACATTCGCTCGGCGATCCGTCACTCATTTGCTCTCACCATGTGGCTGCTTATCCTCGCAGGTGAGTGCGATCACATCACACTTTTCGCGGGAAAGAACGAAATTAAGTGCTTACAATGCGCGTTTCTCCTTCTTTCGACTGATTTCCCTGTGGACGATTCACTGCGGAGTGTACGCCAACAAACGCGTGTGTGTGGATGTGAATTTTGTGCGGGAAAATTGGATTCTGCTGTTGTCGACTAGGATGGAAGAGCCCCATTTTGGATTGTTTTACATCTACTATATACAAAATCCGCACAAATACATGTCTTGGTGTTTTCTACAAAAAGAAACGTCACTTTAGCTTTATGTTTCTTGACAAAAATAATAATTTTTCAAATCATTTTTTCCTTTTTTACTCATTTAAATTTCAGTAAAGTTTCTACACAGAGGTCTTGTATATCAATTTAAAACATGTCTATTTAAATTGCTTTGTAGGAGCAAATTAATTCTTTCAATAAATAATTTATTCTATTCAACTTTTTTACTAATGAAACTAAATGTTTCGCTTAAATATATTATATATTTGTTTTTCAAGTATTTTATTACAAGACGCACGTAGAGTAGAATGGAGCGAGTATCTTTACGCGTGTAGTATAGTATATATAGTAAATACAACATCTCGGAAGTGTACGATAACCTGTTCGTTCAAGGTTTACGACAGTTTTATACGTAATTACCTCTCATTATAGTTAATTGGATCTGCTCTCATCTAGGAACTTTGCAATCGCGAATTGACTTTCCCATCTTCGAATAAGTAGTGACGACATTTCACTTTTGCAAGACTCTCTTTCATTCATTCTTATATCACTTTGTTAATCTCGAATCTCCATAAGATTCTTAAAATAAAATATCCTCATGAAGTAGTCGATATAACGTGTTAGATTTCCCATGTTCGATTGTTGACAGCCTTTTCCTTATGCCCGTTCTACACCTAGGGATGATCCTACTTGTGTAAAAGGGTACACTGTGGTTGGTTTCCAATCGTACCAACTTTTATTTATACTACTCCCTCGGATAAGCTGCAAGTAGGATTAGCTTTAGGTATAGAAGGGGTATCGGATGAGCCACAAGTAGGAGATCATCCCTAGGTGTAGAACGGGCATTACGATGATAAAATCAGTGTTCGCGATATTACTTGATATTTCAATCCCAAAATTTACGGTTTAGAATATTCAATAAAATTGCAAAAAAGTGTAAAAATATATTTCTGGGTGATAAATATTGTGCAATAAGTGAATGTAATGTAATTTAATGCAATTCAGCTAGTAGTAGCAATATGGATGGCAATGTTCACGTATTAGATCAATAGAAAGTTACTTCTCTCTGATACACGTTTACTCGAAACGACCATGTCCCGCTACCTCTCGATTTCCACTCGACACGTTCGCCATGCAATATTATTTTTACAAAGTTTACGAGTTTCTTCATAGCCCACAACAACGCTGCAAAACATCCTTCTCATAATGCGAACTTATCGGATTTTCTCATCTTCGAAAGGAACCCACGTAATAATAATCGCACGAGAAGCCGGAGGGTCTCTTTACCTAATTTCCTCCTCGACACGCTGATACAATGCCTCAATGAGAACTCAAATCTGCGTTTCATGATCTCCCGCTTCCCCAATGTATAAAAAGAAAAACATCAAGTTAAGAAACGCGTTTCCTTCCTAGGCTATTATTGCTCGTTATCGAGATCTTCCACATCGTCGCTGTGACGACGGGATAGATTTTTACTCACGTGCTTCACGATAGAATCTTTAGCGTTGTATACCCTCTTCTAATTTTCCATTAGACTATGTATCAAATATTTGGATACAAAACCGATTATTTTATCTTTAAACGTACGGCAGAAATGGAAAAGTTCCATCGAAATAAAATTTATTTTTGATAACAAAAATGCTTACGTGATTAAAAGTGCCTTATTAATACCTTCAACAATTTATCACGCAGACATATAGTTATAACTATGTGCAGTTTTGACACAAATTATATGGTACGTGTCGCTTCACAAGGAATCACTTACATTTTTATAGATTTATTTACTTAATATATGCACATAAATCGTTTATATAACGCAAAACAATAATGGTAGTCACGACAAACGAGGCAAAAAATCTCACGGGCACATATCGCCATCGATTGAGAAATCGACGTCGAACATAAACCGCGCGAACGAACGGTATCGCCTTTCTAACCGATATATACTGTAGCACCGAGCTGCAGCTGCAACTGCAACCAACTTGAAAACCGAAAGTGTGATCGAGAGAGAAGTTCGCTACGTATAGTATTTTATCGTCCGTCATGTATCTACAATTTTCATCGTGCGTATAGGGGCCTAAATCTATCTATAATGTGCTTTTTCTATATTTCTATTACATACGATTTGTAACATATTGTATGCATATCATACACGAAGCGGAAGTCTACGCAAAGTCTCAAGAGCTAGAATGAAGAGTGAAAACTGCTAGTAATAATATGTTACAGAATATATTTATTAATATATAAATATAGATATAGATAGCCAGTGTGGAGTATTCTACCTTCTAGGATCTAACAACATTTTTCCATTCTTACCGATCTTCGTACCACATTTTGAATTCAATGTTATTTAGAATAAAACGTCTATTATAATTCAAGCGTATATATGTTAACTTAATATTAATTTATGTTTTTGACTACTTGACTCTATTTTAGATTAAAATGAAAAATTCCAGAAAATGGCCAAAGGATTAAAGAAACAAAACACATTTACTGATACATGGTGAATATAGCATACATCATCACGTGATATACGAAAATCCTGAAACAAGATTCATTTTTTATACTTTTCTTTTTGGTCAGAATAGAGTAGAAATATTATATGGCCTTGAGGAATCTCAAACTCGATCAGATTGCACTCGGGACAGATTATCCGAAAGTGAAAGGTCGATGGCGTGGTTTCGCATTGTCCTTATTGCATCACTAATTTCACCTCTAATCTAACGCTCGAACCTATTAAACCTAATGCCATGGTTTTGAAAGACCGCTTACTCGTGTTATACCAATCGAATCTTTACCCGGTGGTAATTACAATTACGTTGTATCGACGGCAATGGAGGAAAGTTGACAATTATAAATTTGTTTGTAAAAAGAAAAGTTTAAACTTACATATACGTTAAAATTCAAAACAAAGCGTCGGTAGCTCACATCGGATTTTTACATTTAAAGTTCCTAGTTCCAAGATCTTGTTGATCATAAAGCGAAAAAATATCTCCTTGCAAATTTAATGCAATTTTGTTAAAAATGTAAAAGCAACACCAGTGCTAAAACTAATGTGAAATTGAGCCAACGATAAGATGCCTGTAAATAATTTGTAATTGTATGTTACTATATTTTACACTCCGTTAAAGTAATGTCAACTTGAGAAATGAGGAATGAGGAATATAATTTTGTATATTGCTTTCATCTTTGTCCAAGAATTTGTAACAATCTCTATTAAATTCAATAATCGTGATAGAGTACGCGATATGTGTAGGGGTAAATATGTAAGTATATAAATGTAAATCGGTGTGATAGAGAATTGTTGATATTAAATTAAGCAATATTAAAGTAATATTAAAGGTTTGCAGCTCGGCAACGCGTTAATTAGGTGAGATTTGTTAATCGTACGCGTGTATTTGCAGTATGGGGGGATGTTACTTAACTGCGGCTTCCTCCTAAGGACGCGCACATAGTATTACTCAACGAGGGAAAAATTACGCACATCCGTGGAATATCTCACGGACTAACAAAAGAAGGAAAGTTAACCGGATTGCCTGTGCGCTTTCCTCTCCATTTCAAAATAAGGATCTGCGCGACTGCGTTTAAAACATGTCTTCTACAGGAAACAAAGCAATGTACTGACGTTTTCGGGATAAATTTTTCCTCTTTTCTCATAGCGAGAACATTTCTTACAAATGTATAATTTATTAAAACTTTTTCTCTTGCATACGTTGCATTTTTTTACATCAGTAAACACTCAAATAGTATGTCTAAAAGTATCTATTTACATCACATCTTTCCAATATCAGTTGTTTTTAACGGCACATTTCTTGGGAGATAAACTTATCTCTGTTATAAAATGGTAACAAGGTAACGAGATATTGCTCTCTCAACTCTCTTATATCCTCACCATTTCCAATCAAAGCGTTACAATTACATTTTCATACCATGATGTATTACAAGTTTTGCGATAATAGCTTGTGATTCTTAGCGGCAGGTAGAGGCCGAAGAGGAAACTGGTAATAAAGGCGTGCGTTTTGCGAGATCATTACGCCTCGCTTACGTGATATAAAAAGAAAAGAAAAAGTAAAAGGCAAACTTTCCTCAATCTCGCTTTCAGGATCACCCAAGAATAATCGTCAAGATTAAACTTTTAATTCATTAAGGCTATTTTATAAGAGCTACTTTGTATACGAATTAACATATTTATTTTGGAGGAAATGATTGATCGACGTAGAGAATTTATTAGAGTATCGAAGCAAGTACAACGTTCCAAGAAAATTGACAAGAGCATGAACATTGCGACAAATTGATTCGGTGTTCTATAACAAGGGCTGCATAATATTGTAAACACTGATCTTTTATTTTTTGCAATACGATGTTAATTTTATCTCATCTTCTCGAAGAGAAAAAAGATTTCTTCTCTCACGATGTTTTATAAGGTATTAATGTGAAATAGCAATATACATGTAAATTGAGATTGAACTCGAGCAATTTTGTTTCTACGTAAGACACTTTTTCTACTTTTATTATAATAGCGTAAAAAGTCTCTAAGAATTAACGTTCCAGTTCGTTAGCCAAATCGTTGATATGCTTATTTCTTTCCGCTACGACGAGACGTCTGAAAATGTTGAAAGCAAAATCCGTGGGAAGAGTTTCTTGAGCGCACGTCGCTTGTAACTTTCTCTGCGTTGCTTTCCCAGCTCCGTTCTAAGCGTTCGCGGTCAGGCAGAACGATACAGGTAAAAGTCACTTCCACGTTCGATTATTCAACTATCAAACTCCAAAAGGATATTTAGGTAGTATTTCATCTTATGTGCAGTGGAACAATGTTTGTGTTCTGAAGAATATTTACAAAGAAAATGTTGTCGTGCAAGTAACATATGGGAAGAAAAAGACATTAGTCTCTAAACTAAAAAAATGTGTTAACAATATTCGAAATCGACAGGTCTCTTGACGGTCTCCGTTGGAGAGGAGACTAGCGTCACCAAGAAGACGGTCTCATCTGCGGCCAATGCCGATGACATTGTTTTACTAGAGATCGATATCAAAGATCCTGTCAAGAGGTCACCAGTTTCAGGCAGCGCCATTTATGGGGCTTCACCTAGCCAGTTTGTTATTCGACCCGGAGATGACTCTCAAGAGGTATGAAATAATACTGTACACATAAAATTTCACCATGTCAACTAACCGCATCGTAGAATGTTCAGTAACAAATGTTCCATCGAATATTTAGCGTTATTGTCGTTGGTCAACCATGACTATTGACCGCCTATCACCCACTAACGTGCTGACTAACTAGCCATGAACAGACTATTTTTCTACGAACGGCAGAGAGAGAGAGAGAGAGAAAGACTCCCAAGTCCGCTTTTAAGATCTAGGCGTTCTGATGCAACATGGTAGTAGTCATGGCTCGACTCCATTACTTTCATTACTTGTACGAGGATTTCCATTTCACCAGTGCACTTCGAGGATAACGAGAGATTGTACATTCCATGCTACAAAAGCCGTGAAACGCCGGACACCTCTCTCTCCCTCTCTCAACGCTTTTTCGTAGAAGAAATTAAACTTTAAGCTTGAAATAATTATCCAGTATTGCTAATAATTTATACAACATTAACAAGTGTGGTATAGATTTTTATGTACGGTATATTGACATATCATCTTAATATCGGCAATGTAATGTATTTTTCAAACGTTTCAAAATCATTTTCTACGTATCTCTGTATCACGATGGAATTATCTATATACGCGATGAAACAAAAATATTTTAAATATTAGTCAACATATTCCTAAAGATATGTGCAGCCAAGTAATTCATTAGGTAATGATGAGGAAGAAAGAGAATATGAATAAAAAGCTAAATAGAAATATCAACAAGTATATATTATTATGTAGAATAATATAATCTATTCCTATTTATACTCAAAACAATTCTTACATGTTATTGCAACAAGCAAGAATAGTTTCTCTCACGTAGATCAAGTTAAAGAGAGGAAAGAAATGCTAAAATATTGTATTGTATTCCAATGAATTGATATCGATGAAACATCTGAAAATATGTGCGGAAGGATAAAGATATATGAATAAGTCGATTCGGTAAACGCGATATTAGATTAATACGAGTCTCGAATCCATATAAGGGATTGAGGTATAAGAAAAAGAGAAAGAGATTTGGTCGATACGTGTGTGTGCCTCCTACGCGGTCGGTCGACAGCGCCGTGCTCGAATGCAATCGGTCTCTTGCATAACGCTTGCAAGTTTGCACGCCTTCTAATCGCCGCGACCTGACAGAACCGGTACAACCACACCCACTGACAAGTCATAAGTTGGCAGTTTTATCAAACCTCGTACGCTTATAGAATTATAGCCTTCCCCGCGGCCTTGTGTACCGTTATAGCGAGATGAGTCACTTTCATGAACGATGCTTCGAATCTTTATCGGTTACTCGCGGTTACTCATCCGTCGACGAGCTGTGTTATCTGTTTGCTCCTAAGATCAAGTTCAGCTTAGGGAGAGGGAGCGAAATGAGATCTCACCTTCGATCGCTAGTCCTTGTAATGTTCGCGTCGTGTAACGTTGACACCGTTAAGATTAAGACTAATGTAGAAAAAATGTAAAAATTTCAGCTGTCACCCGAATACCTAGCCGTCTTGCGACAATTCACCGGAGTCGACCCGCAGTCGTACGTCGCGAGACCCAATAGTGCGCCTCAGCGTAGACCTCTTCCAGCCTATGCCAAGCAGCAGCAGGCGTTGCAGCAGGCATATTACAATTATCGCAAACCCGCCGTGGCTCCTCCCAGACCGAGACCTCAGCTACAACATCCCCAGGCGTTGATTCAAGCCGAGGCGGTAGCGCAGGCTCAAGCGACGCTGCAATCGACGCGCGGCGGCCCATCGGGAGCATCGACGTATCAAGTAGAATCGTATACTTCACCGAAGGTGGGCACGTTCGAGCACGAGTTGCTGCAATTGGTGTCCGCCAATCAGGCCCAAGAGTTCAATTTGATTCCGACGCAGCCTAAAGCCGCAGGCTACCCGCAACAAGAGTACATAAAAGCAACGGCGGCACCGGGGTCTCAGTTACACGAGCAATACCATATCGAGACTAGTCCACCCCCGCGTTATCCAGCGCAGCAACGAGTAGCAGCGACGTATCAGTCGATCGAGCAACCGGTCCAGATTCAATACCAAACGGCGCAAGCGGCAGATTACTCGGCAAAGGGGGCCGAATCTTTTAGGCCGTCCCCGCAATACGAGTACGTCAACGACGGCGGCGCCCCGCTGAGAGCCCAAGTCAGTCAAGCGCAAATCCAGGCGGAAGCCGAAGCGAATTCCAGGGCCCAGGCTCAGGCCGAGGCGCAGGCCTTGGCCTTTCAGAAGATCGCCCAGGCATCGTATCAGAAGCATCACGAGGCTGCTCTAGAACAGATCAGAATCGATCACGAGAGGTACAGGCAACAGAGCGCCTTGGAGCAACTTCAACAGGGAGATCACGTGAGCGCGGCCGGACAAGCTCACATCGAGGGCCAGCTGGAGCCCAAGGACCCAGAGGCCGCGTACAGAGCGAAGCTGAAGGCGCAGGCGGCTGCCGAGGCCGCCGAGGCCAGGAGGCTTCAGACAGCTGCCGAGTACAAGGCTCACACCGATGCCATACGCCAGGTCGAAGCTCAGCAGCAGGCCCACGTGAAAGCCCAGGAGAAGGCTCATCAGGACGCCTTGAACTTTGAGAGGAATCAATTGCGCGCCCAGGCCCAAGCACAGGCGCTCGCGCAGGCTCAAGCCGAAGCGTTGTACAAAGTCTATCAGCAGTCACGCGCCAAAGCCAACGGTGAGATTTTGGCAGCCGCCAGAGCTCAGCAAGAGGCCAAGAAAGTCGATCCCGACGGTACACCGGTGATCCAGTTTCTTTTACCTAATACTCCCAAACTCCCGGCACCTAACAACTACTTTACCAATGACGACGTAAACAAATATCAAGCTTCCGGCTCCACCTATGCCCCTAGATCCGTGACTAAACCAGACTCCAGTGAGCCTATCATTCAGGAACAAGCTTACGTTCAACCTGTTATCAATCAACCTCGTCAAGTGCACAAACTCAAAGTTCCGCCGACTCAGTCCTCCGTTTACGTTTCTCAATCGGGTCTTTTGAAAAAGTCCCCGGTCAAGTCTCTCACGATCGAAGAGATTGTCGATCAAGGTCAGCTAAACAGCCCTCAAATCGTACGTATTCCCTCACCTAAGGAACAGCAACCTCTCACGCAAGAAGAGTTGTCCGCCCTGATTAACGCCGGTTACAACGTCACTCCGATACCTCAAACAGTAAAGCCGACTCAGCAGAGCTACGTGTCGGAAAATACCTCCGCCGTCTACTACTTGAAGAAACAGCGGCCAGCAGTTAGGCCTGAATACGTTACGTACGAGGAGGTTCTACAGCGGCCGCGAAGACCCACTAGAAAGAATACGCCTATTCTCAAGCAGGACGACGGTAATGCTAGCGAAAAAGTCACCTTCTTGGTGCCGTTGGAGCCCAGTTTTGGCACCAGACAACCGTCGCTCAGAAATAACGAGTGATCTTTATCGTCCCTCCATCGTTGTCGTGAAAAAGGATCAACAAATTTAGAGAAATCTCTACGTTATTGTTAGCCTAAATTTCTCTTTCTTTTACATTAGATGACTGAATTTTCTTTTCAAACCTATGTAAATGATAAATGATGCCAGTCAAAAGGACCATCAACGTTGACCAGTGCAAATTCTTTCTTTCGTTCTCCTTCATTTAATTAGCTTCTTTAGTCTTATGCCAATTGAACAAATCTACTATATCTAGTGCAAATCAACATTAATATCAACTTTTCGACAGCAGCTCGTAAACTCGATAAAAGAAAGAGTTACTAATGCTTTCCGGATGACATTAAATAGATTGATAAAATATACACGAGTTACATAAAATTATTTCCACCAGAGAATATTTGAGAAAAACAAAAGATCGCTACGTTAATATTGTTGGGAGAACGTAAAATAGATATACAATGTTTGTAAAATTACACAAATATGTATACTATAGCAGAAGTCTGTAGAGAAATCTGTAGAGCACATTTAAGAAAGATACAAATATAATTTAAAAAGATCTTCTTGATGTCTATGATAAAGAGAATGTAATTTATAATTGAAAGGATTTTGCAATAAATCCACCTTGCGCGATATTATCTAGTAGATGGTAAGTGCGACGGTGCTGAGTCGAATGATTATTAATTTATACTTTTTTGTAAATATTAGATTTTTAACTAATAAATATATTTTAAAACCATATATAAGACATTTTTTTATTTTACTTCGTGATTTGTACTTTCTTCCCAAATTTTTTATTCATTTGTACATTCTTTCTTCAACTTATATTAGTACATGAAAACGAAATGTTACACATTATGAAACCTGTGGAATATTTTTTTATGCAAATAAATTATATTTATACTTTTATAAATAAATAAAAGATACAAAAAACTGAACACACGAGGGAATTTTATATTAACCAATTTTAATTACTTGGTAACAATGACTTTGACATAATACTGTTAAATTAGTGAAATTATGATGTACATTACTCATCTTACACAATTATTTACAACTTGACTGTTATAATTAAAAGGAGAAAGAAATAATTGAAACAAAGTATTCCGTTTATATAGAACCGATCAAACCGACTATGTGCATTTGTGTTTAAGCGTGTAATACACGCAATTGCCCTTCACCTTATTACATGTAATGATACTATTGCCGCATTCATATACATACATCGATACGTTAAACGTTTCATAAACGGGGACAGTCGATGAATTGATTATAGAGTACTACGAAAAAACTATTTCTAGTAATAAATCTTTCTATTGAGAAAAATCTCAGATAGTATACAATGCATATATTATTGTTCACATATTATTTTATTCACTAGTCGTCTGTTACATTTTCGCCTACAATTCGCCAAACGAAATTATTACCAAAATTAAATTTAAGTATATGTATAGTACGGTTAGGATTAGCATTCTGTTGCTAGCATTCTAGAACACAGACACACACGTATGCGCGCGCGCAAGAAAATTAATCTGGCTCTTTGAGTATAACTATGTATGTACGTATATGTAATGCTAATCAATATCGATATCGATCAATACTAATCGCTGAAACGGTTCATCAAATGGACGTGCATACCAATATTTTTACCAATATATAATGTATACTTATACATAAGAGTATATACATATACTTTCGGAAATTATAGCTTTGGTAATACTACAATTACATTATGAAGGACGACCGGTTTTTTGGCCACCACGGCATTCGAGAACATCTTAAGAATGTGTACTTTGCTTTACTTTCAGACCTGCCGATCAAATAAAAATAAACCTAGAAATACATCGGTCGAAAGATGAAATTATCATCGCTCTGTTTCGCATAAATCATTATGCAAAGATATCATTGAATATTATTTTAGATGCTGTTAAAATTCTCTCCCTCTCTCTCTCTCTCTCTCTCTCCACCCTCCTCTCTCGCCATCCAACTCATCTGTAAAAACTTAAAGTAATCTGTAAATGATCGTAGGTGTCTTATGTATTGCAAACGTTTATTAAAAAATATGTATTCACTACATGTCTCTTGCAAAATTAAATTAGTTTTAGCGCAGTTTCTCTAGTCACATCTATACTTGTTAATACTATTTCTCTTTTTTGCCGTTTCACAAAGATGTTACACTATAGACATGATGCAATAATGGGTATAGAAAGCGAAAGATTAAGCCCATAGCGATATTTTGTAAACATAAATCAATTAAATTTGCCAACAAAATGTACATTTTTTATTAATATTTAAATAATATTTTAAGTAAAACCTGTTAAACCGATTTTAACTTTATGAATATAATTTCATTAGTTTTAAAAAGAAAAATGCGATTACTTTGGAAAATTTCTTACATATCTGCAATTCTTGAAACACATCCTCCTGTAATTCCGTACCGGAATTTTAAGTAGATTCAGGGTGAGAACTCAACATGAATAACAATCGAGAAAGGCTATTCAAAAAGAGTTAGTAACCGAAGCAAATTTGATGCTTTCACTTTGGAACGTTAATGAAAGAAAGTTTGCAATTGGAATATCTAAATAGAATTCTAAAATGTTAGAATGTTTCAAGAATATTCATATATTTTTATTAATTTTTCTAGAAGTAAAAGTTTTGTATAATTTTTACACTACGCAATATATTGTATATATCGAATGAATTGACTCAGATACTTGACGTAAGAGTAATGGTAATATACCTTCAAAAAAAAAAATACATTATCTGATTTTGCATTTTTATTTGTACTTACGAAGGTACTTGGCAAAAAGAAATGAAAATATGGATAATTTTACGCGTTTTATTTGAAAAAAACTTTCTCTGTATTTTTTACTACTATTCTGCAAGTATCAATGCATGTACAATGTACATACATACGTTATACAGTATATTAAGATTTTTTATTAATTAAATCAAACTGTGAATCATGAAATGTTAATGTAAATCTTCCCAATTGTATAAAATAACATTAATCATTTTCAGTTTAGCTGATTTATTCATTCTATCTGTATGCCATCTCTGAACCGATCTGAACTGGTCGAGAAATGTAAAGGATTAATTATTCATCATATAAATCGACAGAATAATGAAATATGTCCGCGATGTACATTTGATCAAGAGCGGGTTTCATGATATATTTTTTAATAGTCGACGCGATATTAAGTGTTATAATTATTGACTAATTTGATTAAAAGTTGAGATTTGTAACGGGTCATATATTGGTCAGTTTATAAATATATTGCGAAAGAAGCAGATATGTGCGATATTATCAGTTTGATCGATATGAAGCGAATTATTTGTGAGCTTGAATTGGCACACGGAGACAGATCGACCTAATTTTGACCGGATTTGGCGAGCCTGGTCCTTGCATCGTTGGAAGGGGCGTCTCGGCGTGGTTATCTTCGCTGGAAGGGGCGGCTGATGCATGTTCACTGTGTGCCCATATAAACAAGCTCGAATGCCACCGGCAGAACAGTCTCGCAACCCTTCGTGCACCATTAGCCCAGTGTGTTTTGCAAGTGTGCGGAAATCACAGTATTCTCTAATAGGTGGTAATTCTCAAAAAAGTTCTTTTGCCTTTAAATACCAAGTAATAATTAAATCAAATTTATTGTATCAAAGTCTACTTGCTATAATCTATATGAAGAAAAGAAGAGAAATCTCTTCACATATATGGTACATACACACACGCATGGAGAAGGATTTTATTATTAACTTTTATTATTAACTTTTCGAGTTGTAAGTAGATGTATTATTATACAATAAAATACCATAAGAAAATATTGCAATAAAAATTCCGTGTTGCGACAGCAGAACGATATAGAATAATAGTAGATAACTTTTACATGAATTTTGTGTCATACTTACTTTCAGAATGCAGTTATTCGTGATAACGACAGCGTTACTGCATATCTGTCTATGTGATCATGTGGCTATCAGAATGCCGTACTTGAATCCGGCAGGGGTGACATACGTTAACAACCTTGAGGAGGCACCCCTCGCATATACCTCCGCTGCATCACTACAGCCGGTCGTACCTGCAACTTCCGCACAAATTGAAACACATCACGTGGGATATGCGAGCGCTCAAGTGCCCGCGGTAGCTGCGGTGTCATTCGTCAAGCATGTGCCGACAATATCCCAAGTACCGGTTACCACGATCGAAGCTCAGCCTGGTTTAATACAAAAGCAGGTTGACGTACTGAAGCCTGCGATTGCCACTCGGAAGGTTGAGGTGGGTGTATCTTGATTGAAATAACGTCGATGCCACCGGAATCCTCACATCATTGTAAATTCCGAGTAATAACTATGTATCAGGTACGTCGTCCGGCGATCCAGAAACACTTTTATGATATTGAAGAACGAGTAATTATTCGTCCAGTTGGGTCAGCCGTACTCGAGTTGGACGAACCGACGTCCAAGATAGAGAAAGGACCAGCCGTGATCAAATCTTTAACCAACAACCTACCTCTGGTCTATCCACACACTTATGGCATCTACGATGCACCAACCGCCATCTCCCATATACCAGCCATTCACGCGACATCGTCACCTCTGTTACTTCCTTCATCGACACCTGCATCAATCACTTCTGCTTCCAACAACTTGGAGAACGAATCTATTATAGTTGAAAACCCTGATTTTCGTTCTGTCAATCAAGCGCACCTTCCTCAAGTAAGCGAGAAAATACATCTATGCAAAATAAATAAAGCTAGATAATTGATGAATAGAAAGAAATGGCCTTTTTGCAACACAAAATCTTTTCTTTTACAGCTTCGCACTTCTAAACCTCGTGTAATCGCTGAATCACCGGATGGTACATCTATTGATGTGCCTATCGCGCGATTTGCCGCTCACGATCCTTCTCCAACTGTGATACCTAGTCAAAAAATCAGTGCCGAAAATAGTAAAATCAATCAAAATAGATTGATAGAATTCCTAACTGCCCGCGGGGGTGTCGCCGAGGTATGTAGGGCATTTCTCAATCCAATAGCATGTAATGTTTGCAAGATTTTATAATAGTTATATCGATTGACCAATTTCCACGATATCAAATTACTTAATTTAATTTTCTTAAATAGCTGTGGATATATCATATTTATAATTCTCTACTACCACGTGTACGTATAAAATACTTGCGCAGCTATCACGTGATGCAAGTAATACACATGTTTTAATGCACGATTTTGTTTTCAATCTCACATGTAATGATTGAGAAAAACCACCATTTTCAGTTGGGTTTTAGTCGCGACGATACAACTGGAACGTTGATCGAAGATGCCGGTCACGTTCGAGCACGTATCCTCTCTGCGACGCCAGTTTCGAAAGAGGCGGAACCAACCGGAGAACGCGTTTCCACACGCCGTGTCGTCGTTAGCAGACCGATCGAAACTTTTCAAGAATATGATATCCTGGAGCCTGCCACGAAAATCGAAACAGTTTCCGTACAACACCCGACGTTGATCAAGACTGCTCGTGTGGATCATGTGCAAGTGCACGGATCCGTACCAATCATTGGGAAGGCCTTTACACCCGCAGTGGCTCATGCAGCAGTTCCTGTTTATCAGAAAACTATCTCTTCGACGTTTTAGTACACGTTTCATGATGAAAAAAATTTATCTGTTGTAATGATGATTTTATGGCGAATATAATACTTTTCGCTACAAGAGAATTAAGAGACAAAAACATTGATACAGAGAAATAAGTATCCAAGATTTCTTTAATTGTAAAAGTAATAAAAAATGTTTTTATTCGATAGACAAGTATTTTCTACCGATCCTCTGTTTACCTGCTTCGTGAAAATAAGTCTACATTCAGTAAGCAAAATATTTTACAAAAACGTGTGTTTTTAAGTTTTTACGTGCTAAAGTAATAAAACTGCAATCCGTACGTTACAAATGTCGAAATCGTATTACCATACAATGTGTTACATAATGTTACATAATGAGTAATGTAACGATATCTCGTGTCAAACAAAGATTGATAATATTTTTCTTATAATAGCAATAAGAATTGTATGAAGGAGTAACGATAGACGTTTTAATTTACTTTATTGTGTTTGAAATTGCATCACTCTTTGCTCTCCTATCTCTTTGTTTATCCGCCTAAATTCATACGCTGTGGCGTACGCACAGCAACAGTAGGACACAACAGATGTAGCAATTACATTAATTAGTCCAAATGGAAATGTTAAATTTAACATTTCACAGTCTATAAAAAATCCTACAGACTGTACGATTATCTAGTGTTTGTGATAGTGTTAGCGACTTCCTGAAACCTTTCCTTTCTGCGTTAACTGACAAGGGTAACCACTACGCCGCTGATTATTTATAAGGCCATAACATTGACCTCAATAATGCGAGTGGTTCCATTCCCTCATCTGTATCTCGCTCATGAGATTTACTCCGATCTGTTGAAAGAATTTTACTCGTGGATTGCATGCGCGCGGATATGGACAGAAATATGATAGAGATTGTGATAAATTCTCTACTAGCACATCGCATAAAATTGATCAATCACTCGTAATATCTCATTTATGTTATAACAAGCTGATAAACAAATTTTGATACCAGACTGATATCAATTGAAATTTTGCGGAAATTAATGTAATTTATTAATCACAATTAGCACAAGAGATTCTACTTAAAATATATAATACATATTAATACTGATTATATTACCTAGGTAATATCATGTAACGCTTGTAGAATTAAAAGAGTTTCGATAAATTGTAAAAATGTTTACATTTATTAATTTATTTGTAAAATAATAGAAAGAAAGAAGAGAAGATCGAGTTGGCTAGCGGCTATCGTATCCAATGCGATATATAGAAAACTGGCACGAATTAACCAGAACTGAATCCGGTTCTGACTGCATTACGAGACGAAGGCGTGACGCGCATAATACGCAATCCGGAAAACAATCCCAGTATTGAAAATGCTATTCGCATACGCCATATGTGATCGAACTCGATTGCGATTGAGAATGATAAAGCGAGTTGATCCGATTCTGATCGCAATTTGGGACCAGGCGCTTTTTCAGGCACGTACATACGTATGTCTGATTGTTGCAGTATACTCGTAAAAGTGACTATTGTATTCTTGAAATTGATCATGAAAGCCTCAACATTTGTGATAGTTGAAAGATCATCACCCTTGACTCAGTTAACGGAAGATTAGCGACCTTGTTTGAAGGTAAACATGAGAGAAGGAGTCAGAGCGAAGCCTCTGGGCTAACGACCATGGTAAACGACCAAGGGATGTCGGATATGATTTTAACTTGTACCGAACACCAAGAACACCGCCGCGGTCAGGCGTATGTATATATAAATCCTGGTCTCCCGGATCTTATGCTCATTGTCAGTTAGATACGCGCGAGGTAAACGCCACTTGGTTGCAAAGTATTGCGAATCTTTATAGCGTCTAAAAGGTAAGTTGTAAGTTTAATAGAAATCTTGTGCGATTGGACAACTTTTGTGATCAAGGTACTGCAAAATGAAGCGTAGAAAAAATTCATGCTATAAAATATTTCAAGTAACATAATACAATAAAGTCAATCAATTATTAAATAAGCTGATCAATTTCATTCACAGCAACATTTGCAGCACTTGATGACTTTTATGTTACTATTTCAAAAATCTATTAGCCGTTGAGAGAAATAAAAGTAAGATTGAAGTAAAAAGTGAAGAAATAAAAACTATTATTACTGTATTTCCGCCATCAAATATATTATGTACTATTTGAGACACGAGAGATTTGAGACACATCTTGTAAAATACAATAAGAGTAAGTTGGAAGAATTGTGTCGTGACAGCTGACTGATTGAATTTGAATTTGAATTTGAATTTGAATTTGAATTTGAATTTGAATTTGAATCTGAATCTAATCTAGCATAAAACTTTTAGTTATTAATCAAAGTTTACCTCTTCCACCTTGGACAAGAATTTTTTATCTTTTAGAAAAACATCGGAACGTCAAATGCCGACTAACTGCATAAACATTGTCTTGTTCATCGTAATAGCAACTTGCACGGCTACGCCAATTCTTTTTCTATCTCCCGAAGGGACGCTCGCCCATCCAGCTGTCGTAATTAATTCTGCAATGGAAGATAATTTGCCTAATCAATTACGAAATAATTTCTATAAAGATCCAAATATCGCTGCTGGTCTCGCTAAGGAATCCTGGTTCAGCAATAAGGAAATGCAGGTAACACATAACTTTTGTAATTTATCCCGATGAAATGTAACAGAAACAAGTGTTTTTTTATCACTTATTATTAATGTGCCTATTTGATTTTTATACGGATGAATTAGTATAATTAGAGATAATGAGAGACTACATCGTTAGAATTTCTCCAGCAAATTCGTTATATTTGAACTAAAGAAATAATTGCGCTGTTTATATTAGGCTATCAAAATCGAAAGGTCTACGACGAACTTTTGCGAATATCCGAATTCGGTGTTACAGGTAGTCGACCGAGAAACGGACAAAATACCAAGAGAAAAGATCTACAGTATGTTGCATAACGCTGGACTCGTTCGCAGATAGCATCAAGACAATGAAGAAAACTATGTTGAACATGTCTCATCAGTTTCCATATATCTATACAATTTGCTTGCTCGTGCGTTCGTACGCTATCTTTCTCCATTTATTACATAATGTCACATTTTTATTCGACTATATGTATATGTATGTATAATATCCCAGCGAGAAATGACTCGTCGATCGACATGTCGGAACGATATCGAATCATTTCAATCACTGGTATATACACTATTTTTCCCCCCACACACTGCGACGTACCTACTGATCTGCTCCTAAAAATAAATATTCTTTTGATACCCTTTCTTCCGAAAGCGAATTTACGTTTGGTGGAAAGAAAAGAAAGAAAAGAAAACTGAAGAATAAGTGCGAGTGCAAATCCAACATTCCTTGTTCGTTCCCCTGCACGCATGCCAATCATGCCATAATGAATTGTATAATGATTTCTATTTATTAATATTAATAATAAATTGATACACATATTTGTTCAAAAATAATGAATGTAATAAAGGAAAACCGATTTTATAAGACGGACACTTTCGTCAAATCACGTTCGAAGCACAAGTTCTCGTCCGATCACTTCAGTTAAGCAACGTTGAGCGCGGTTAGTACTTAAATGGGTGACCGTTTGGGAACACCGTGTACTGTTGGCAATTTCTTTTTTTCAATTCGCTTATTTTACGTCCTCTTGAAGCTATTTGATCAATCACATTGAACATAGCAATTCTCATCCGATGCATAATTATAAAAATCATTGATTTACAATAACGTTGACTTATCGAATATACATACATATGAGACTCAATGTCCTTACAATTAATATAATTGTCAATGTCAATGTTCACCTTTCGAAATAGACACATTATCGCAATGCGATAAGAAGAATGCCTAGTATATCGACCTGTGTCGACAGTGCACTGCCGAGAGGGGTGCAGAGGGCGTTACATGACGACAGTGCGCGTCGACGACGAGTCGAGCAAGTTGGCTACGATTGTCTGCGATTGTCGTCGTGAAGAGAGCTGTCAGAATTGGTCGCGCGAATGTTATCACGCCCGTTCTGCTGATTGCTGCGTATGCAGATTGTACGTAATAACGTATGTGTAGAGGCACACGGGCGCGATCGAATGACTTGAAGCATCATGTGAGACCAACGAGTAAAGCTAGCGCCTTGGTGGTTAATGCCTTTAATTTCTTCGGTCGTGTGAGTCGTGTCTACCAGTGTCTACCGCACTTGTGAAAATTCGGGGTATAACCTGCCTTGGTATTAGCGTTAAATGTTTCGGTCGTGACCATCTCTTGGACCGAATGATACGCTATCGCGGTACTATGAAGTTACACGATGGAGCTTTCCGAATCGCGAAATGTTGTTAAAGATTTAGATTTAACCCTTCAACCGCGAATTGCCCCGCGATACAAAACTTGGCTTCCTCTCGGCACCCAACAGGTGAGTGATAAATCAATTTTATATTATCCACGCGCCAAAGCACTCGATATCGACGAGTTGTTGAACATTTTCAGTTACGACTCAGAGGTTTAGTGCAAATAATAGGCCATAATCTAAAGGCTAATGGAGAAATATGTTGGTTCTACTACACCTTACATAGATCGAGTATGTCCTCTCCGTTGTATACGAGCGAGGCGATTGACAATGCTAATCCGAGATGGTCGAGTCTCGAAGTACCGACTCTGCATGCCACAGGTTACTCAACAGCCAGTGGTGAGCGTTGCCGTCTCTGTTGGTACAATCATTTGAGAAATAATTCTCTTTCTTTGCACAGAGATTATCCTAAGGGTCTGGAAGCGCTCGATGCCATCTGACAATACAGCTGACGTAACCCTCTTCACATGGGGAATATCATTTACAGGATTGACGTACATCGGTCCTAAGCTACCACCTAATCTGCAAACTATTCTAAATGAAAACTCTTTGATATTTCACTTTCATGGTGGATACTTTACTCCCGTCTACTGCTTTGCGACAGTACCACACTCAAAGCGCTATCTTTATATGACTTTAAATGCATCCGAAGTAAAGAATAGTTATACTGTCAACAAGCTCAGCAGTTTAAGAAGCAAGATGCAGGCACTAAAGCAACAAACGGAATCTGTGCAAACGCTCAGAGTACGTATTGCCTCGGGTGATGATTTTCACACTCCCAGGTATCCACAGACTACTTTGAGCAGACTGTTGCAACCGCGGAGAGTCAACAGGGAAAAGAAATTGGAAATCATGAGAGTACGTAAAGAGCTGGAGATGGCGAAATTTAGAACAAAATTGTTGGAACAAGAAAGAGCGCGGAAAATGGGAGAGATTCGTCTATTGAATCAGTTACATACCAATATTGTAGAAGAGAATCAAGATCACGGTTAGTACGTGTAATGTCGCGGTACAAGTATATTCTGAATAAAGACAACTCTTTCTTTCCTAGGTTCTGATTTAATGGATAAGTATAGAGAGCTGAATAAAGACGTAGAGAGACTGAATGAGTGGCGACAAAATCATGTAGATACGAGAGAAACGTACTTGCAGTTGAGCAGCCAACTCGCACAGAGACGACGACAGTTAATCTCAGAACTATGTTTAATATATCCTATTAGGCAGGTACGTATCTCTATTGCGAGTTCAACTTGAATGGCTAACAACACACCTTTCTCCACTTTTTGTAGGATAGTACCGGAAAGTTTAGAATAAATGACGTTTATTTGCCAGACAGTGAGGAATTGGAGTTGTCGAATGACACACAAGTGGCTGTGGCATTAGGTTTTGTTGCACATACAACGCAAATGATTGCAAATTTTTTGAATGTCCCGACCAGATATCCCATCATACATTATGGCTCGCGCAGCAAAGTTATAGATCATATCACAGAAAGTTTACCTGACAATGACCGACAGTAAGGGCAACTTTATTAGTAACGCCTATGTTATTCCTAGCGCGTATGTTATCCCTGGCGCGTTATTTTTAGGTTTCCACTGTTTGCTCGAAGCAAGGACAAATTACAATTCCATTATGCTGTGTATCTATTAAATAAAAATATAGCACAGCTTCGATGGTATTGTGGCCTCCCGACCACCGATTTGAGAGCAACGTTGCCGAATCTTGCTACGCTGATCAACATTAAGCCCAATCAGATACAGTACGTATACACACACGTTTTTGCTCTAACTCGAATGTTATTTCGTTTCAATTTCGTTATTTGTAGTTTGGACGATTCGAAACGAACATTTTCTACCTCCTCTTTGGACACTGAAAGCGGTAATGGTAAACAAAATCCACCTCTTACACCGCCACTGCAAAAGATAATTTTCGAGAAATATCATCGCTCTTCTCGATCAATGAGTCAATTGAAAAATATAAAATCGTCTCTTGGATCTTCTTTGGATCAAGGTTTGGACAAACCTGTACAATCACCAGCGCTAGGTAGTCAATCGAAGCGAATTTGTAAGTCCGAAGAGAGTGCCATTGACAATAAAACCTTGGTATTGGCTAAGGATCGATCGAGCAACAGTAGTAACGAGACGTTAAACAGTGCCATTCTGAACAATATTGATAATATAACTCTTAAGGATAAAAGTGATTTTGTCGAGATTAGCGATAACATCGTTATTGAAAATAACATTGAGATTATGATACCTACATCGGTTTCTAAAGCAAGAAATGTCACGGATAGCTTGGAAAGTTCCGTGAGTGCTCGAGATAGAAGCTCCAATTCCATAAGCAGCTGCGAAATGGCTCTCGGCAGTAGCCAAAATGACGTGGATGAGGGCTCGAATGGTAATCATGTTATTAAGAGAGAAAGAGTCGATGATAATGTGTTTTCGATCGATGATAATTTAAGAAATGTTAAGGATGTGATAGACAGTGCGCTGCAGAAGAACGGTGAATACAGTAAAAGTCATGATTGCAGAAACAATGTTTCACAAAGTTACGACTTGAATGGTAAAACTGTTAGTGAACAGAGTAATAGGGTTAGTAGTGGACACGATGCGCTTACGGAAACTGCCGCCTACAGCAGAGAGCGTTTTGTTAAATCGTGCTCATCTTTGAACGATGTGTGTACTTATAAAGAAGCGGAGGAAAAACAAAGAACAAATTCTATCTGTAGCTATACTGAAGAATACAGAAAAAATGCTACCTTACGACAGAAACATCGTTCTGAATCTAGGTACATGAATAAATCAAATATATGTAAATTTTTCTAATATCTCATTTATGTTATGTATGTACACGCGATGACTTATTTTTACAGAGAAATAAAACCGGATTGTCTTCAACATGCTGAGAAATGGCCTCGGAATATTGTAAGAAATGAACCAATGGTAATTTTCATGCCAATTAATGCCTCTACACATCTTTTTAAATGTAGTATCTAATGTTCATCTTATATCTAGGTGGATACGAGGTCAATTCTAAGTACATCGAGATCAGAATGCTGTTACGATGAAGTAAAACTACAATGTGACATTCAAGCGTCAAGCGAGTATATAGATGTGATTAAGCGTAGCTCAGAAAACGTGTGTGCGCGCACCGAAGCTTTAGTTAATAAGAAAACTAGTTTCAAAGTTATGAAACCGCGTCTTTAATATCTGCCTAGGCTACAGTTCTGTCCTGATATAATAGGTGCAAGTACCAAAGGTCTTGAGATATGTTCAGTGTGTATTTCACATTTTGTATATCTACGTGGTTGATACGATAAAAATTCTTTAAATCTTATTTGATTGATTGTTACACAGAGATATTTATTCAATTTTATTTATTCAAAATAAACACAAAAACTGTAATAAATCACTGTCTTATATGCGGATATGGAATTATATACTTGATGGCAAATATAAGCTAAATTATCTATAAGGATAAAATAAAAAAATCCGTTATGATTACCTATTATTCTACACGCGCACATTTATAGCTCCTTCCGTTATCTTAGCGCAAACCACCATCATACGTTCTTCATTATAATAATAATATAGAAATAGCTTTTTTGTAACAAAATTATGCATCTTTGTACACATGATATTAGTTATGTTTTACTTAATGTATTTGTATTGCACTTGTGACGAAAACTTTGGACAGTTGGACAGTTGGTTAATCGTAATCAACGGTGGTAAGTCGAGATTTTATTTTATTTTATTTGGTAGTAAGATGTAAATATGTATTGATACAGTCATGAGTTACTATAATACGTATATCCCACAAAATTTATATTGTTGTCATCTCTCTACGAAAGCATTTTCATTAAACTGAGGTAAACATATGCGTTACACACAAAGTTTGTACATAGGTACTCTGTAGATATACATTTTTTCACTGTACTTAATTCACATAATTGACCAATGTTTAGTTTATGATTATAATACAAGCGATCAAATTCATCAATATCAATCCTATTTTTATCACTGGAAATATTACAGCATACCGCAAATTTATACACGAGGACCAAGCAAACTTCATAATCGCTTAAACGAAACGATCACGTATGATAATTAATATGTAATCTGTAATTAGCAACTTGGAAGAATTGTTCCTTGTGGAACTCGAGCGGACTATCGCAATGTGATATAATATCTGAAATAAAAAAATTACTAAAGAAAAGATATCAATTATTTATATGTTTCGACATTCTATTTATCTCCCATCGAATAATTATTTTTATTTTATTTATATGAAAAATCTAATTTAGTGTTCTAAGACTAAAAGGCGTAGTGTATTATAATCTGAAAAAAAAACCTTTTTAAAGAGGTAACAAAAGACGCCAAGTATAAGCGTGCGATCCGAATAAGAATTGTATGATTTAATTAATTGGAAACATTTTGTTACCACAAAGTAATGAGTTCTCTGAAAAGTTATCTTCTCTACAAAAGTATGTCCTTTACCAAAGTAGTGATATCAACAAATTGCGCCAAATATAATGGATATTTATACAAACTAATTGTTTTATTAGTTTTTGATACTAAATGTTATATCCTAAATAATAAAGTTAGAGATTTTATAGAAAGAAAGGAGATGATAATATTAATAAGACAAATTTTTAATACTTATTGTTTATTAAAAAAACTTAGCGCTGCTAAACCGCTGAAACATACCATATATAATCTAAACTTACAATGAATTCTAATCCCTACTTCATAACCCACCCGCGCGCGCGCGCGCACGCACACGCACACGCATGCACAAAAGAAAGAGATATTTTAATACTTGTAAGGAAGGAGAAAAATTAACATTTGGTTTAACAGCGCCAAGCGTATAGATGAAAATTGAAAGAAAGAATCTATCGTTCAGCTATTCGTTGTATTATTTTTTAAATTTTACATATTTTACACAATTTATCTGCATACATTATCTTTAATGAGGGAATTGCAATTGTCCAGTTTTCTCGACACAAAAAGAGGCGCCAAATATCGCTGCTGATTTTTCATATTAATTAAAGCTATTTTGCTTATGGTATCCATGTACTCGGAGCAGCCTGTAAATAGTTGGTCCCAGAAAGAACATGGTGCTGAAACTACAAATATATAATTGAGTTATATTTGTGCTATGACATATGGACGTATTCACCTGTATGATACCTTAGATATGTCTTTACAGCAATCTTGTTTACGTATATGTGAACTCGATATACAATATAGATATTTTTGATACATAAAATTACCTTGCTTATCGTTTAAGAGATTGATCGTTTTGACAGATGGTATTGTCAAGCTTTCTATAGCCGAGGATTTAAATCTGGTAGGATCTCTGTAAGCGTCTTTTAAAGCGATAACTGCCGACGTAATGGGTGATCCAACCGGCGAATCTATCGCTGCCATTAATGGTCTGTATCGTGTGACAGGTAAACCTAGTAAAAGATTTTTCTTGCAATGTTTTTCATCAATATTATCAGATGCGTATGGAGTATCAACTTACCCCTCTTCTCATAATCCGTTTTATAAATACTTTTCATCGTCTCTTCCATGTCGGAAACGCTATCTAACATCGATGATGTGAGATCCGTCATTTCACGATTGACCTTAATTAGTGCATTGTAAAGTCGACGTTCCTTATCAGCGAGCTGTTGATATCTTTAAAATGAAATGAGTTAACACTTTGACTCGATGTACTCGACAAACTATTATAAGAGCTATTTCAACTAATTGTGAGGTCGAATTTACCTAGCTTTTCCTGCAGTCTCGAAGCCATGAACGTCACATTTACAATCCCCTGGATCGGATCTGAGAAGATACGGCTGGATACATTTCGCATAGGACCAATTAGAGTCTTGACCCGTCGTACTGATAAAAATTTCCGGTGACTGGGACATTTTCCACCTACGATTTCGTCTAGTTTCCTCAAGAATAACTTTTAGCAAAGCGAAAGCAAAGCCTGTACTAGAAATTTTCGAGACTAATTGCAAGCTGTCAGTAGTTATACGCGATAGGTTAATCTTGGCTTGAGCAGAATGGCTGTCGAGTACGTGAAACAAGGCAGCTTCTGTGTTCAGGCCATATAAATTTCAATACTCTTGTAAAAGTCCAAGCGACGCTTTCACCAATAATCATCGCGATGATCGTTCCATAGAGCGCGTAGTACGTTTAACGATATTATAATTGCAATATGAATATATGAATTTCAGTATCTTGCGTTGACAATTATTTTCGTTGAAGCTACTTGATTTACTTGATTAATTCGATGAATTTTGTAATCGCGTATTTTTATATGTGTAACAACATTTCGACTAGACTGAAATACATATGTATAATAATTAATATCTTTCTTACAAATATCTAGAGTAGACATGTATATATTGCATAATATTTTCAATGCGTTTGTTTCCGAAATATTTTGTACATTGCATCTGAAAGCCGATATAAACATATTAATTATTATTGTATTATATTTTGAATTTTCTACGTTGATTCGTCGAAAGATTGGATTGTGTAATTTGGTGGTTGGTTGTTGTGTTAAGTTGACATGTTCAACTGGATGTAGTATATTGATACTGCAGTGGTTTCTTTTTTGCACGATGCAATTTAGCTCTCATAATGGCATGGCCAATTTTACTAATGCTATCTTGATATTCTGATTTCCCGGATGGCAATGTCATCTGTCTTCTCTCGACATCTTCGCACTTCTTTTCGCGTTTTGATCCATCTTTTTTTGTATAATCGCGTTTCCAAACATTCGTACTTTCGGTACATATCGGAAGATTACAACACGGCAGACTGTCAGCTTTTATAGTTATGATCTTTATTGGCATACATCGTAGGTGTTGGCCGTTTGTATCAGTGACCGTCATCGTTATGTCACGTTGTGTCATACGTGCAGCTGCTGGAAAAGGCGAAATTCCTTCAAACGGTGAAATAATCGACAATGACATGTTGGTAGCATATAATATCTACTGTTCTCACCAGGATCACTGTAATCCGCCTGATATGTCGTTTTCATACGATCAGCATCCACCCGCGTAATCGTTTCATTCAAAAATGATTTCTTTGACGCGCCATACTGAAAAATTAAGTTTAAAATTCACTTTGTTACACTTGTTATGTTAATTATCCAAAACAAATTCATGGAAGGGCAGAAATAATTAAATAATTAAATAAAGCAGAATTTTGAATATTTTCTTTTCTCACGCAAATACTGGGTAGCTGGTCGAATCGTGTTACATGCGCTTCAGGAATCCGTTCGATCTTGGAATAAATCTTTGGCTCCAGAAGTCGTCCCATAGGACCCACCCGACTCCACTCGAAACGCTCCTCTTTACGTATTCGCCGTGAATCGGTACAAATGCAACCTTTAACGACGACCGGTGCAAGTTTAGCTGGAGGTTGAGTACGACATATAGACATAGCAGACGACACGTAGGGCCAGGTATAGTCCTTTTGATAGGTTGAAATGTAGTGATATTTTTTATTCATCGTGTAATTTCTCCAAGATGAAGACGAATGGGAGCTTTACGAAGATGTCTCAAAGGTGTTTCGAACCATCGTTGTCATGTATTTCTGTCGATCTTTCGGATCAACTGTCAAATACTCATGTTCAAAGTTATCCATTGAAAATGTACACTATAAATAAAACTTTAATTACCTTTATTTACCTGCTAATTCGACATCTGCATTTTTGAAACGGTACTTTATTACTACAATTGTCATCTCAACGTTTTTATTTGCGTTATTTATCATGCCATAGTGAATTTGTATTTTGCAAATCTTTCTACTGCAAATTTTCACATATTTTTAAATAAAATTTCAATCGGATGGTCTAACCTTGATCTTGATAGTCAATTTGCCGAGGAGGCGCTCTTCAACTTTTTACATTTTCAATTTATAAAAATAAACATTGCAAACTTCTGATATGTTACTGAATTATTTCTACCTCGCCATTTCTACGTACCCTTAATTATTTTCCACGTGCGTGCATGTGTGCATGTGTCTAATAGATTATATTATAATGATAAAATAATTGATTGAGAGAGGTCCCAGGTTCGAATCCTGGCTGAGGTAATATTTTTCGCAATAAGAACTTTAATTCAATAGGGGAAAGCGTAAATTTATAATGCCAAGTATAGCATTGAAATTAAATTAAAATAATTTACAAAAATCGTTGAGCGACTTTTAGAACACGTGAATTCTAAGGGGAAATCTGTGTTATATGTCCGACAGTAACGGCGCGCAGTACAGGGTGGGAAAAGATGGTATTAGTAATTTAATGGCCACCACCATGCCAGGTCCTAAATGGCGTCTGAAAAGGACCGAGTTAAAAATTAATTGTTGTTTAATAAAATAATAATAATGTAATATATGGCTCATTATTGGATGTCGAATATTAAATTCATATCGAGTTTGCACGGTATATGCCATATATGCCGGATAATGTCTCTACTCAGATGCAACTGACGGTGTAGTTTCTGATTTAGTTAATATAAATCTCCGCCTTGCCTTCTCTCGTCAACTGGTACATTTTCGCGGCCGCGAAGGAAGGAAAGCTCGGAAACGGACTGTACCAATGTGGTCGCTTTAAACTTCTAAAGATATCGCTGCGTCCACGCCACCAAGAATAGAACTGTGACGTCGTCATCTCAACATCGACGAAACAAGACGCGACGAAGCCGTGCATGCATCGACGGAACCCGACGAGACAACCAGTGGAATTTACTTTGGTGCGCGCGATAGATCGGCCCTTTAGATCGCACGCGCCATCAGCCAATATGCTTACTTTTCTTTCTCCGCAGGGGTCTTAAGCTCCTATAATTCTTCCTCATTCTTTTTCATTTCTAAGTAAAACCGTGTATCACAAGATGGAACAAGATATGGCCAATAACGCCAAAAGACGAATGTCTAAATGTCCTCCTTATTAAGCACAGAAAATACGTAAGTATTTTACTAATTATTTGCTATAATATTTAATATTATTTTGTTCGAGAGATGTATAAAATTACTATTTATTTATATCTAGAGTATTTCAACACCGTGTTCGACTAAGAGATGACCCGTCATACAAATCGTGTCTAGCCTCTACGTCAAACAGATAATCGATGGAACACACAAGGAAGAACTTTTTATATTACATCGTCCAACTTGTGTAGTCAAACTACTAGGTGGATGAGAAGATCGAGATTCATGTTCCATAAGTATTAGTTTCCAAAGATTTTTTTCAACAAAATTTTGAGCTTCTTTTTTGAAATAAACATCCAAGAAAATTGCGGGTGGAGAAGTATACCTTCAATTCCGCAGACATGATCTTTCACGTGTCCGCAGACGCGCTCATGTGATGCATGACAATGTGCCGTCAAGATAAAGCAACGATCGATCCAATGAAAGAAGACAAGATGAAAAATATGCGGCCAGACAATTTACAACACGCTCTATCTCATCCACCTCTTTCTGCTTTGACCTACAACATTCGTTCATTCGCAACAAGTTACACGCATCTCTGCGCCGTTAAAAATTGCCAGTACATACATTTGCACCGTAAATTTTGGCTTGGAGCAAATTATTATTAGCGCGATTTAGTGCGCGCGAGTGAGATAGTAATCGGTTCTGTGATCAGAAACCATTAGGTGCTTGCGTCTCATCTCTTTCTTCCTCTCGGTTAGTCGTAAAAACTTTCAGTATCTTTGAGACTTGAGACGAAACGAAGAAGAAAAGGCAAAAGGAATCTTTTTGACCAAGAGACTAAACTGGGCGAATGTGGCGCTGAGAAATGTGCACTGCTTAGTAAACAAATGAACGAAAAGACCCGAGTTCAAGTGGCAACCATCGAGAGTATCCTGCCACACATACCTCTTTAGGGGTATAGCTCTCCAGCTGGGAGGTTTCCTTCGGCAAGGTTATAGCAGCCTACCGAAGATGAAGTAAAACAAAATGCTCCAAGTACCAGAACGAGAACTGTATGCGAAATGTATATTGCAGAAAAATTGGTAAACTGAATTTCCAACCAAATTAGTCAGAGTCATTATATCTGGAGGTTCGGTCCAATTTCAACTTTTAAGTAAAAATATTCTTTGCGTCTTTGTGAGTTTTCCACAATTAATGAATGTTTATAATTACAGAATCTCATAATCATTGTCGTCTTTTTATGACCATTTTTGAATTTACAATTTTCCAAAAGTCTTTTCCAAATCTTTTTTAGATAGAGAGACAGAGAAAGAGAGATATAGGGGTCTTACTTTACTTCAAATCTTGTCAAAACAAAGTTTACTTTAAATTAAACGAAACGAAATTCTATTTAAAAAAAATTTAATTTTTCAGGCTTTCTATTACACACTATACCTAAACAATTGGAGAATTATCAAGACTTTACCTTTGAAAATAAAAACATGGATTTTTCTCATTTGTGCTTGAAATAGATAACTATACTGCCCAGTACGGCGAAAGTTGCAAGACATATTTTCTTTAAAGTTGCTCATACTGTATACCTATTTTTCTAACAAATGTCCATTGTAGAAGATGCATTTGGAAGGAAAATGTACATCGGCGTTTCTTACTTGAATGTCACGATAGTGACGTTTATACACGTGATGTTTAGACGTGCTGGTTTTACGTCGAGCGATTCACAGGGTAAGCGTGTGCGAGTATCCTATGAAATTTACGCTTGTGTTTGCATTCCTATAGACGACATAGCGTCCAATTAAATGTTTGATATAAGGATGTCAAGTCCACCATGTTTTGACTTTTGTGGTGATGCGTCTCGCTGCGAAACGACGCGACGTCGAGAAAATTTCGGGTAATTCGCGAGAATAGCGAGAATTCAAACAGCTACAAAATGTAAAATTATCGCGACATGTTAAGTACAGCAGATGCTGCGATCAAGATGGACACTTGTTGTGTGCAAAAAATATTAAAACCCAAAAACCCTCGTTTGCAATGTCTGTATATCGCATTGATAAATAAACTCTGGACATTTACCTCCTTATTATCGCGATAATATACAATTTTTGCATTTTCACAAAGTTACATTTAGATACTAAAACGTAAAAAATGATATTAGTGAATAAGTTTAATTTCTAAACTGAAATAAAAACGGTTCTTCAAGACAAATATTCTCTTGATATGTAGAAGCAGTATCGCGTAAAGGCTGTGTCGTCGTAAAAGTGTTTGTGCCGTGCTTGAGCTGTCGCCATTTGTAACATGAAATGGAGACGAATTTATAACATGAACGGAACATCAACTCAACATTGTCACGCTTAATCTCTTTATTAGATTAGTAACTTTGCGATTTCAAAGAGAGAGAGAGAGAGGACTAAGAAACTAATTTTGCTAATAGGGTGGACAGATATACTCCTATCAAATATATGTATATTTTATGTGTAAAATAAAATACTGATATTTTTATAAAAATGTCAACATATATACATATACATACAGCGTCCAATATTACAATAAAATTTAAGAAATTTTTTACAGAAGCTAATAAATCACTAATGTCTCAATGATCCTGACGTTTCAATATTCCCTTTCTATTATATTAAATGTAAAGTTCCTGAACGGTAACTCCCATACATTGGAAAAATACATACTAAACATGAATAAAATATTAATGTTTATGCTAAAAAAGATGCCTCTTCTGACATGAGAATATAACTCACCATATTCAATTTGTTAATAATAAGTTTGATTACATTATTTACTATATGTATACAAGAGGATGGAATAAATATATTTTTTCCACGCATAATATAAAAATATTTATAGAATCCAAGAGCTACCATGTTCGGTCAAACAAACTATCATGTTCTTTGACTCTTTCAAAGCTAATGAACTTTGCATCCATCCGTGAGCTCATGGAATCTCAACGAATTCATGGAAGTATCAACGAAATATAAACGGCGTTATACAACGTACAGCATGTGACACTTGGTTCACTTTCCGTACTTTGTTTATCCACGAATGAAAAGACTTGTGCAAAAAAATTTGAATTTGTTTTGCAAGAAATATATTGGGAGAATTATGACAAAGATTCGTGAGAAATGACAAGAAAAGCTAATTATCTACATAGGCCATTGAAATAGGAAAAGTCTAATTGGTGATTATCTGCAATTTTTTAGTATGCAGGAAATTAATCAGGAAAATGCTAACTAGAAATTTTTGAAAGAGCTTACAATTTCACCACAACAGATAACTTACAAAGTCTAGGATTCTATATGATGTGATTCTTAATTAGAAAGATATCTCGATAATAAATTACATTTTCTTTTAGTTAAGAAAGTTGTATTAATCATTTGAAGCGATAGTTATACATACGAAGGTACGTGCGGTACATTAAGCATTCTCACGATCATGCACTGCCAAGAACTCTAATAAGTCACTGTCAGTTTACGCACTGGTTTACGTATGACGTGCAAACAAGTTCTGTATTATAATTAACAAATATAGAAATATATTTAAGAGAAAGATAATACAAAAATAATTAGTTAAATTAAACGTATACATGTGTTGTCTATCAAAAACATATAATGTAAGTGTAAGATATTGCGATTCGATAATAAAAAGATCGGAGAACAAAGGATTTGTGTATAAGAGTGTTTCTATACATCATATAATATATCATATATAATATATATTATACATCATATAATATATCATCTTTGCATATTCTTTTCGGCTACATTTTCACAACACACAAAGAGAGTAACGATACATTGCATCTTAATAATATTTATGTCTCGATATCTTATTTATTAAAGAACATTGCGTAAATTAAATATAGCGACAAATTTTGGAGATAGCGTCATTTGAGCATACACAAAGTATATGTATATTGCAAATGATACTTATTTAATTCGAAAGGCCGACAAGCAAACGAATATTATAAACGAAGGGAAAAATTAATTAAATTTCTCTGATGAAACGAGTCCTTGATTTAATTAATTTGCTCGCAACGCAATGTATCCCGACGCGACTGTCGTCAGGACGCGTACGGTGTTATAAGACAATAAGTACGAGATCCATTCAATTGTGTGTCAACCAGTCGCAACGTAGTCGCAACCATGGGAGATTACACGGTATCGTCGTGTCGCTCGCGTGCATCACTGCAGGACGGACGGTCGCTCGCGCGAGTTGGAAGGACAGTGGTTTTAAAATAAGCACCGGGACTCGAGAGTTTCAACGCTCTGCCAATGCCCATCGGTCCGAGTGTTCTCTCCCTCTCTCTCTCTCTCTCTCTCTTTCTCTCTCCTATTCACTCGCTCGTTCTCTTCCTCAGTAGTGTGTGCTAGTTGATCGTGGATCGCGTTCGCAGTAACCGCCGCGTCGTTCACCACCAGTGGTGAAAAGAGACCGCGTTGTTTAATAGTTGAGCGTGTGGACGCCGTGGATGTCGCCATTAGAGAGAAAATGTTACGGGAGACGGGCCGCGATCGTTTTCGGTAATTTTGAAATGTGTCTCGCAAGTGGTGACTCTCGAGTGGTGATTTGAATAAAATCGATTTCCAGTGTCATCGAGTGACGTTGATTCTGCTGAACGTCACGCCGCATCGAAGCGTCGATCCTGCCAATGTGATCGAGCGCGATTGAAATCCATCACGTGACTGTAGGTGCTTTCCACAGAGAATCATTTCATCTTTGTTTAACGATTCACTGTGTTACACGTACCTGTACACGTTGCTGGTAAGCACCCTGTGACGGCTGTGACACCTCGCGTGGACAATCGAGAGCGTCGCGTCGCCGTCGGCTCCGCATTAAAGATTCCACGTGCCCATTGTTCGAGTTATCAGATTAGATGTGAGATAATGATTATCTAGAAGAGAGTTGCGTCTCCGACTAGAAATCAAATCGAAGCAACGCGTTTGTACCGATGTCAATTTCTACATTTTCTTATACTACTAGAAAATATAAAAAAAATTCCCTGTTTGATGAGTTGACGTGAGAAATATTAACGCATTAACGCCAAGCCGATTTTAGAGCTTATCAAGCTGATACACGAATGAACCTGACAAATCGATTATTGTTCGAAAGAAAGCGGCGATAACCGGTTAAAATCCCTCTCTATGCACACTGTCTCAATTAGGCTCTGATTAATTTCAGGGCATTTCGCAGCAGGCGCTCGCTCGCTTGTATATTATTCTATTCTTCGTAAAGCCTCCTGCTTTACGACTCGCACTCGCCATGTGTCGTCTCTCATTTTCATTTCGTTTTTCCGGTTACGCGGCTAAACTATGTATGATGTATGGCTTGTGACATGTGACGTATGACGTGCGACGTGCGACGTGCGACGTGCGACGTGCGACGTGCGACGTGCGACGTGCGACGTGCGACGTATGACGTGTGACGTATACGCGGTACAGAGGACAGTCACTATAGTCGCAGGTCGTGGGTGATAAAACGCGATTCAGCGACACGGTTTCTGTTCCTTCGCAAGCAAGTGTACGCTTCGAGTGACTAATTGCCAACTTACAATTAGATCGGAGAAAATCGGCGTGATTCATCCGCGCGCGGTGAACTGCGGGCGCGCGCGGTAAGTGTGCGGCAGTGAGGTGAATGCTCCGCCACGCAAACTGCAAAGTCGCCGAAAAGTGAAGCCGGCAGCGAAAGTGGTTTGAGCCGGCGTTTGGTCAGACGTTTCGACGGCAGCGTTGCGGTGCAGCCTGTTGTGTCGTTGGACCTGTTGACGCGGCGAATCTGATCCCGGACCGTATCGCGATGATCCCTGCCGTTATTAAAACAATACGCTCGTCGTAGAAAATTGGTCGACTCGCGCAGATGCCAGCTATCAGTTACGTGCAACCAGAACCGCGACGTTCCGCGTCCAATTGGTACACCAACGTCGACGCGACACACATGGGAATTCAAAGCACCGCACAGTTCGTCGACAAGTACCACCACATTATTGGTAAGAAGTTTACCGTAGCTAAATTCACGTAAATTTATTGTTTGCTCGGAAGGAGCACGAGGGAGTCGGGAATAGGGGTAAAACGTTCCTTTGTTACGTTGCCGTGCGAGAGCGAAAGGAGAATGCGCAAGAAATATATCGTAAAAATTTGCCCTTTCGTATATTCCCGCGAGTGTCTTATCGTTAGACATTTCCAGTGACATTGATTTTTCTTCATCGGTTACATGATCGTTAAGTACTAAATTTATCCTATTTATCGTTTACAATTTACACGATTCAAGACACAGTAATTATGTAATAACATCGTAATCCGTAACTTTGCAATTTTACGGAGAATGGATAAAATTTGCCATTAAATTCCATTCCCAATTTAATTGTTCTGTTGAATCTTATTAGACTTTGTGGACGATTCTCCTTCGCGCTTCTTCCTTACTCTCAGAAAATATGAAAGACTCCGAGCAGAAATGACGTAACATAGTTTTACATATTTTCTATCACTGTAGAAAATCTTTTTAGAGGCTCTACACAATATAGAGCAATTTTATTTGTTTTTGAAATAAGATTACGTCATTTGTGAATTTCATCTGTCAATTTCATACACATGTGTCAACCTTTCCTTTCGAAGCATCGATATAAAAATATTACAGAGAGAGAGACTTTTACCACGAGCCTGTGAAAAATATTAACGTTTGTAAATTTTTAACATAAAAAGAAATGTCGTCATATTTTCAAAATATTAATTCCAATTATCAGCGGCTAAAATGTTTGGAATTTGTATTTAACATGTATTTCCGTGTGTAAACCCTTTTCTTCGTTTTGCTTAACTAGAGAGAGAAAATGATCGAAAGACCGACGAAAAGACGGAAAAACAGTCACTTTCGCGTTTCTTTTTCGCAATTAATAATATCTTGTCAACGGCTATCGCCGACAAATTATCCCATTTCTCCTTTTCTCCATCTCTATCTCTCTTGCCAACATCTTTTTCACATCAAGTAACTCGTGCGATACAACATTTAGCGATTCAGCAATAGAGCGTACGATATAATGCACCGACGAGTCCTCTATGACGTTAATTTCAATTGTATAATAGGTGAACAAGTGGAAATTCAATTGTCATAAATCATCGCAAAACTTATTTCTCAATAAATCGTTTCTAAAAGAAATAAAAATGTTGTTTGATTTCAAATGTGTAATATAAATGACAAAAATTAAATTTAATCTGAGGAAATGTTACGCAAATTAATAATTTATTGCCGAGACTTTTTCAAACCTTTTGAAATGCTGTGTAAATCGATCCCGTTTAATTACCAGATCCAATCGATTTTTATTTGATACATCAGTTTATTCGATCCATTGATTATTTCTTTACATTCTATGTACATGCACACGTAAGCACACACAACATCAATAAATAAATGTTTACACGTCATTCTCAATGTTATTTAAAATTAGATTATTATTCGCATGATACCTAAATAAAAAGAAGAAACTAAAAAGCGAAATCACGTAATCTTTTTAACTACTTCAAAACTACGATCTATGATCCGATCATATTCGCTCCATAGCGTTTCTGTAACGTGATCGACAGTGATCAGTGGACAG